ATATATATATATATATATATATAGATATATGCCTGTCACATATGACACAGATGTGACAGGCGTATATGTATGTATGTAAACACTTTATTGTTCAACAAAACAAATTTTTAACAAAGAATTAAAACGTTATTGTACAAAGGCGAGCTTATCCCATATTATTGAGATTATAACTAAAATAATGAGACATTGAAATTGATAAACGAAGCAAAATTGTGCATCATTAAGTTACCTACCTACTAAAATCTACCTACCAAATCGTACACTTGAGAACATTGGATGTCATTATTACTTAGATAATATCGCATTTTCTCGAAAATTATTATACTAATTTTATTGTAAAATAAGACAAATATGGTAACTTTCATACAAACGTTGCAGCGTGGCTTGAATGTGTGCGCGACTGTTGCGTGCCGTGTACGGACACGTACATTCGCGTTGCATATCGCTGGTCTTTCCATGCACCTTTCATTATATGCGATATTGCGCATGTACGTGCCACACCCATTGCGCATCAACAACAACACATACAAGCCGCGCTGCTACGTTTGTATGTAGTTACTATAATTGTCTTATTATGCTGATCGATCTCTTTGGCGGCTGTTTACGACTTGCGAATTGTTTTTTTATGATACTAAGTGAGAGGACGAACAAGTCGGGCCCCTGATGGTAAGCGACACGCCTGTCCATCAACTGTGTATCAACTTTTAACAACTTGAATGATAGCATGATGAATTTTCCAGATATACGACACCCCTGATGGCCCAAAACATTTCATCGTGGGTGTGGTGTCATTCGGACCTACATTATGTGGAAACAAAAAACCAGGGGTATATGCATCAGTAGGATATTTTCTTAAATGGATTCTAGACAATATTGCGAAGTTCGAACATTAAGATCTATTTGTAAAGAAAATAGTTCATAAGATGAACGTACTATCATCTATAGTAGTTATTACCTCAAAACTTAAGAATTTCAACTTTATCGCGATTACTTTTTAAATGAATATGAAAACATTCGAAAGCACGTAAGGTTGAAAATTTTACAATGTTGAGGAAACAAATCGGATAGTTCGACAGTTCGATCTAACTACCCAAAGTGATCGAGTGACCGAGATATAGTGTTAGCGAGATAAATCTCACACTTATACTACTTGAGAAAACCTATGGCAAGTTGTGTGCCAAATCAACGGTTTGTGAATAAATAAAATAATGACGTTACGTAGGCTAGATGATATCTATTTATGCTACGCTTACAGTCAGCGTGTGTAGAGTAGTACCGTAGTATAATAAGAATAATAAGACAAGTACTGAAATTCCATACAAACGTAACAGCGCGGCTTGTAAGTGTACATGCGCGGTTAGGTATGGACGCACACATTTGCATAATTTCGCGGTGCGCTATAATTGCACAGCGCGCGCGAGTGGTCTCACGCATTATAGACTTGAAGCTTGTAAGCTGTGTTGATAAAATGACATCAGATCAGATCAGAATAATACGCGTGTATATTGTTAAGTTTATGGTTTTCATTTCTATTTCATAATCACACTTCCATAATCTAGATACCATTCCGCGATGCTAATATAAAAATATCAATATGCAAGTGAAGTATTGCATTTGACAAAGGTTAAAAGAGAATACTGTGATGAATACCGTCTTTTTTCAAATTACTTTTATAAACTGTAAGGACATACAACTACAATAATAATGTGACAACCCTACGTTCCGAGGGACGTGTAGGCATTGGCGCGCCGATAAGGCAGGAGTTGGATTACTTGTCTTATTACGTTATGGTAGTACTTTTTAATATTCTGATCTATTCATGACATTAAATACAGCTTTATGTAAGCAAGTGTTACTATGTACCTTACAATAATCACTTAAACCTTGATATTAATGTGGTATTCATAGCGCTGACATTGTTTCTTTCTTTACGTAATGTTTTTCTTGTTTATCAACATAAAAACTGCAAAGATGTATATAGTAGAGGAATTAGTAAAACTATTTGTTTAAAGGTACTCTTTTATTTTATTTCCACACGGACTATAATCATTAGTCTTAGCGCGTTTGGGCACTGCATCCGATCCGCATTCGTTCCGAATCCGAGACTATACAAATCCAGAAAAATCGGATCCGCTTCGGATGTCGCTTGTGCACTAAGTCCGATTCGAATACAAGAAAATACGAATATCGCTTGTACACCTGGAGATAAAATGAACCCTATGATATTTCGGACCGTCATTTCTCGGATTCGGAACTGATACGAATAGGACGTAATGCGCAAACACCCTAAGAATAATATTTCACTGACGGACACATGAATTGTATCAAAGTACAAGACGACTTGTGAACAAAAATATAAAACAAGTTTGCTAACTTTTTAGATTTAAAGCAAAGACGATATAAGTCACGAAACGTGTAAGGTAAGGTTTAAGGAGGCACATTCTTTAAAGTTTTAGCGTCAGAACACCAGTAACCACCCCTCGTGATGACAGGGTACGGGTACGTTTTTTGCGTAATCTTTTTTAACATCATGACATGAAACAAGAGTAGAATGAAGTACGTGGTTGTAGCCATAGTTGCATGAACCATTTTAGAAGAAGGCCGAATGAACCTGATATCACCTGGTTCAGATCAACAAATGGTTCAAAGTTGGTGAGAATCGGAATGGCGGGTGTGTCCTAACGAATCCAGGCGAATTTCGTACCAAATAAATGTTCCTAAATTGTATTGTTTGATATTTACATAAAAAAGTGTGCCTCAAAACGAAATTATTGCAAAATCAAAGGTACACCCTTAGAATAATAACGCATAGAAACCTAGTCCGCACACGCTAAGTGAGGCAAATTGAAGCGCGCCAAAAGGGCCTACACGAGCGGGCGGGCCTTCAGTGCTCAAGGTCAACTTGCAACGCGGACAGATCAAGAATTTTAGCTAAAAATGACGAAATGTGCGGTAAATGAGTGTAAAAATACGTCAGACAAACTTAAAATAGATACTAACATCACATTCCACAAGGAAGTAACGCGTTTCAACTTGTATTTTTATATAAATATTCACTAAAGCCGAAAATTAACCTACTACTAAAACTAGCCTACATGAATTTGACTTTTGCCTCACTTGTGACAGTTCGTTTGATATGAAACTATCATTCTATGCGTTATTATTCTAAGGGTACACCCATTTATTATTATTGATACCTGACTGGCGGCTGTATCTCAAATTATCAGTTTTTATTGTCTGTATAAATTAGTCACGAAAAGTCGTCTGCTCGCGTCAGAGGTTTAGTCCAGTTTAGTCAGGACTGCCCTCGTCGTCCTTGGTCAAAAGAAAGGTAGGTCAGTCGTCGTTTTTTGTCCAAAAGAAAGTCGGTCTAATTTCGAATTCCTGTCAGTCTAGTAATCTCTCAATCCGCTGATCATCCATAGAGGCTGGACGCCACTTTAATTATAATAACTTATTATTCTGCAGCTCAAGTAAGCTCGCTTAATGTTTGCACGTGAATACGAAAGTTTGACTGAACAGCAGTGACTTGTTCAGTGGCAATGACTCCCGTATTACTGTTTACTGATGAGTATATGTTTATAGGCTCAAACTTACATCTAAGGTATATTGGACAGATTTCATAACATTTGACCGAGGTTGTGACACACATTATTAACTGGCCAGCACGCAGTCACGACTTAGTCCAATTGAGTATATGTGGGACAATTTAAAAAAAGCAATAATAACTACATTTTGTGTGAAATGCAGTCCCCACAACGATTGCGGACCTCAGAATAGCGATGATGTATAGATGGGACAATACCGCATGATCTTATATAAATACCCTCATCAGACCTTTGCGGAATCGATTAGAATCGGCAATAAGACACGAGAAGATAATTGATAATACACCTTTGAAAGAAAAAAATCCTTCTTGTTTTATCGATTGTTAATACTCTTTTTCAAATTTAACAGATTATTGTTCCACCTATTGTTTTAGTTATAGAAATATTTAATGTCTCTTCAACCGACTTCAAAAGAAGGAGGAGGTTCTCAATTCGTTTGTTTTTTTTTGTGTGTGTATGTTACGCGACTACTTATTTGTGAACCGATTTGATGATACTTGATACTTATTTATTTATATTATGATACTTTTTTGTTGGAAAGAGGGTACCTCAGTATTGGTCCCACAGACCACATAAATACTAGTAATTGATCCCATTAAAATTTGAAGAAAATATTCCACCTCGGGGTGACAAACTAGGGGATTTTCCGGTAACCAATTTCAATAAAACTTAGCAAACCATCTGTTTAATCTCTAAGGGAGCAGACTTGAGTATGATATCAAGCACTGGAAATACGACCCTAAGGGCAAGGCCTTGAGTATGATTTTCAGTGTTCACTGCAATACTGAAATCCTGACTTGAGCATTGAGTAGAGTTCTGGAATACGACACTCAGTCATCTGTAATTCCACGAACTTTTGAGGTTGGTTTTTATTTAAAAAAAAAGTTAACCATTATAAATTATTACTGAAGCATAGGCTCAACTCACACAGGCGCAGAGTCGAAGCGTCGCGTCGCGTCGTTTTCAACTACAAAAAGGCGAAGCGGACGGCGGTCGACGCGAGAATCCGTAATTGCATAACACACATTTGTACCTTAATTATGGGAAAATAAAGATGAATATGCTGTAGGCGAAAAACATGACGCGTCGCGACGCTTCGACTCTGGCGCCAGTGTGACTGACTAGAGCTTTCAACATGATACAAGCACTGAAGCAACTCACAGGACACTACATTTTTTTTTTAATTTTGAACCAGTCTCAAATATAAAAAGCTTACGTATTTCATAAATATTTTTGTTAGAATGTCATTTACAATACTTTTATTGTATGCATTTTACGTATCCGCCAATGAGGATACTTATATTACGTTTTATTATATTAAACTAATATGGTACGTCCAAACACATTTCGAGATTTACAATTTTCCTCTACCAGTATCAATGCCTACTTCTGAATCAGACAAATCGTCATTTTCAATTCTATTCAGGTATTCAGCTACATCTCCGTTAAAAGCTTCTGCAGTATCATTTATTGACACCTTTCGGGATTGGTTAGGGCTGTTAAAGAGGTAGTTTTTCCTAGAGCTGCGTTTCTTTGTTTTCCGTGGTGATAGTTGTAAGGAATCCATTGGTGCTGAATGAGAGCGAGGTGCATAATACCTCTCAAAGAGCATTGGTTGTTGCTGGACTCTGCTATACATGAGTTCCATTTCATGAAGAAACTCTTCACGCCGCATTCTTTCTTCATCTCGTCTCGTTTGTAACCGCATCGCGATGTCTTCTTCGTGACTGCAATAAGGAATTGTTGACACAAACTACACCACAGCGTGACACTCTTAAATACAATAATTTACTGATATCGGTTGAGTAGATAGGTACTGAGTCACAAAAGTACTACTGTCCTTATAATAAACAACGTAATCGATATCTTTTGCGAAATTGAGTTAGCGGTTTTTTTATCTTATTTAGTTTCAGTTTTATTCTTAAACAAAATCAACGTAATTGACATTTTTCAAAGAAAAAAAACTTTATAGGGGCCAATATCTCGAAATTTACCAAAATACCATTGTTGTTATTAATGACAAGGAGGGCAGAGTAGGTATCGACTTTATGCAAATCATGAACTGGCGAATAAGCATACGTTTTTATAATATAACCACATTAATATAATAATAGGGATCAATAATTCTAACTTGTTTTTCACAAGATGCCATGCAGGCTTAGAGCGCAGAAGGCGATCTCTGTGTCGAAGTTCCGCTCTTCGTTGTTGCTCATCCAACCTTCTGGTCTGTTCCAATTCAAACCTTCTCCTTACTGCTTCAGCCCTTAACAAGGCAGCTAGATTAGACCTCCCTGATGCTGCTGCTCGTAGTTCCATGGCAGAATATACACGACTTCCAGGATCTCTCAATCCTGTACTGTCTGAACTCTTACTTTCTTGATAAATTTTTCTTGTTATATCTGCCATCTGAAATAAATCCAAAGTACAAATCTGAATGGAATTGTCTGCTATTAAGAGTCGACACCACCTCAGCTAGAATCAATTTAATCAATTCCCATATTAATACAGTTCGTTTTGCATAGGTTGAGCGGCTAGGACACTGACTTTATTTCAGAATTTATTTTGTTTACAAACGAAATTAAAGCGATTTGAAATAAATGTATCCTACTTATACGTGTTCTATTTATCTCAGTTGATATTAAAAAAATCGTTGGTAGGTATATGTAAAATACCGTACCTATTAAATACAGCGGTTTTCTTGTAAAATTTCGAATTAAAGCCTTTTTTTCCATCGTGAACATTTTTAGGTACCTACCGTGTTTTCACGCAGTATAGTAATCAGTGCATAACCTCAATTTTACTATATATTTTTTCCAAAGTGATTGATTTAACACTTTCACTGTTATGCGGAATCAACCATTACAGGTAGTATAGACTCTTAAGTGTATAAGAAAACGTGGGACCACTTACCTTCTTAGCAGCTCTATCAGCAGTGCTAAACCTAAAAGGTTGGGGACTGGTCGTGATAAACTCTTCTTTAGGAGCCTTATCGCGCCTCTTCCCTTTACGTGGGCTGGGAGATCGATGTTTATCAGATGACGTAGGGGAAGGGACAATAGGAGATGGATCTATAGGCAAGTCGCTATGAGCTGCAGGGGTTGAAAGCCGACTCCGGTCACGTATTGCCATCGTGCCTGGCATTTTAGCTGTGCGAAGCATCTCTTCAGCTCGGATGCGTCTGTTCATACTCCTGAAAGAAGATGTTTTGGTCTGTTCCGAAATATTAAAATGAAACTCAGGAAATAAATGAAACATAAAATATGATCTAATTCAATAATAATAACCTTGTTTATATAATATGTGGTAAAAAGAATTGATGCAATGTTTGTTACTGACTATTATATATTTGTAACTGACCGCAAAACTACAAACAGCGGCAATATATATGTACATACGTAGCGGCACAGATAATAATTCTATGTAGCGATATAATTTAGTATATGTATATTACAACACCACAAAAGCATCAATCAGTATGTAATGCTTCTCATTAGATATGCTTACCCCAAAAATGTGGACGGTGTGTGTGTGTGTGTGTGTGTGTGTGTGTGTGTGTGTGTGTGTGTGTGTGTGTGTGTGTGTGTGTGTGTGAGTGTGTGTGTGTGCGCGTGCGTGTGCGCGCGTGCGTGTGCGCGCGTGTGTGTGTGTGTGCGTGTGTGTGTGTGTGTGTGTGTGTGTGTGTGTGTGTGTGTGTGTGTGTGTGTGTGTGTGTGTGTGTGTGTGTGTGTGTGTGTGTGCGTGCGTGCGTGCGTGCGTGCGTGCGTGCGTGTTTTCGATTTCTGTCCAAACGTACTTACCGAAAGAATTCATCTTCTTTCATTTTATCATAAAAATAATTGGAGAATAAATTTTTCGGAAAAGGTCTGGCCTTGAAACGTTTCTTCTTTTTGCCTTTTGGAAGGACGGTGAGGGCTCTGTCGCACACGGTGCTCAGACCTTTTTCCTCTCGTTTTGTAAAGCTAAAAGGCTTCATCTGAGCTCGTAGTTCAGCTTCACTGTTCATCTTGGTAATTGCTCTCCTGTTTTGAATTTTACTTAATTCAGATAATAGGATCTAAATAGTATAAAAATAAGTAGTATTAAAAGATTTTAAGAAAATATTATAGTCATGTAAAGTCGAATGACATTGACACAACTTAATTATGTAACCTTTGAAGTCATAGGGTCGTATTCCAGAACTGTACTCAATGCTCAAGTCAGGATTTGAGCAGACTTGAGTATGATTTCAAGCACTGGAAATACGACCCTAATGGCAAGGACTTGAGTATGATTTTCAGTGCTCACTGCAATACTCAAGTCCTGACTTGAGCATTGAGTAGAGTTCTGGAATACGACCCATAGATTGTTATTATGTACTTGCATTTGCATTAGTAAGATTTAGGTAATAATCCCACCACACATACGACTTTTTAAGGGAATTAAAAACATAGGGAACTAAAAATGGTAAAAAAAGGAAATGATACACTTCCACAATCACTGAAACTCTCTACCTAATCTTCAAGACCCTTTTTAGACATTTTTCTCAATATCAGAAATTACGTACCTAGTGAAATACCTATACAGCTATGCTTCAATTAACTAATTAATGGCGGACTGAAATTAGTTTCGGTGCACAGATTATTGGTTATTAAGTTTGCTATAGTGGCTGGAATGCATTATAATTATGTGTAAATCTACTATGTGAATCAACATCTACAAATTAATAAAGTAAAAGATGACCAATTGATTTCCCAATGAATAATGATGATTTGGTAAGGCTGACAACTTAGACACTTTAGTATGCTAAAATAATAGCCCCCCAATTGACTTTGTTTGAGACGTAATTAGAAGAAATTATTTAATACAATGAATCCAATCTAACTTGCCAGCCTTTCAACTATCTTTTTTTTACAAATCTAATTTTACAAAAGAAAAAGTGTAAACTAAAACGAAGCCTACAGTGCGTGTGTGTTGTGCTAGGGAACCTCATGGCCTGGTCCTCGAGGATCTTGTCATAGAGGGGAATCCGAGACTCAATGGGCACAGGATTCGCTTTGAACTGGCGTCTCTCCAGTTTTTGATGCAGCATGTCATCAGAAAACGATTTGCGCAGACTACGAAGTTCGTTTACTAAGCGTTCATCTTCATCTCTACAAATCAAAGCTGGTTATTTATCTATGTCATAGAGTCTTACACCTTAAGTTGCTTTCAATTCAGTTGTCCCACCTCTCAGTCATTTTAAACGGCTTAGGTATAGTCATACTTTTTCGTCTCCGAATTGGAGATCGTTGTAGCCTTAATGGACTTGAAGGCATGCTCTGTGTTTTAAAATTATCTTTTGAAGTAGTCGTGTATTTTCTACCGTCGAAGAACTCGTCAAACTTATGATCGATGTCCGTTTTTTCTATCTTTGCGTCGCTCCATGATATGGAACAAGCCGATTGGATTCGCTTCGGCCGATCAGTTCTAACATTTTCTTTGCTTAGCGACGTTATTTCTGGAGTTAATTTGAAATTATCTTCAACGTATTTATTGGTGTCTGTGGACCCTGCAATTTTGCGTGAATGTTTCTTAGAAGTTGCACCTATGACCTTTGTCGACGAAAGTACGGGGTCACTTGACATTTTTCCTGAATCGCTTTTAAGCCTTTCTGCACCATTGTCTTTATTTTGAGCTGAATATTTATTTCTCAATGTCGAGTTAGTTCTGCACTTCGCCGCTTTATCTCTAATACTTGTTTTAACTAATATGCTTTCGATGGGTTTCCCATGTTTATCACATTCGTCGATGTGTTCCACGGCAACACGAAACATGATTTGCTTTTTTTCTCTCAATGATTTCAGTGTCGAGTAAAACTGGTCTTCTGGTAAGTGGTTAATGTCATTGTAATCCGGTATACTGCGGTAAAAATCCTTAAGCTTTTCGGCATCAATGTCTGCTGTAGACACAGAATATGTTGTAGAAACAGAATCAATAGAACTTTGCTCTTTGACAGCTTTATCTTTGCGCTCATATGCAGTTTTCGGCATTTTAGTGAACGGGTCAACTGGTACCTTTAAACAAGCGTTTTTAAATACACTGCAGTTGTGGGTCATTACGACTTGATAGTGTGCACAACCATTGTAAATGCTTCATGGAATATTTAGGTACTAACAGACACTTACATGTTGTTCGGCACGTTGTCGTGGTAACATAACAATCGTGCTTACAGTGCAATTGTAAAGCAAATGTTTCATTGTGAGATGTGGAGTTACAAATATAGGTCGTTAAACTTTATTTCAAGACAATTTATAAATTGTACCCACTAAACCCTGGTTTTTTAAACGTCGCGATTTGCCTAAAAACATCACTTCCACTATTATTCGTTTGCGCTTAGGCCATGTTTGCACACCTGTATTTTTGCGTAAAATCAGAGTTCGAGATCACTCTCTGTGCGAGTGCGGCCTAGAAGACGGTACCTTGGAACACATTTTTTTCAATTGTCCTAATATTGCTGTTCCACTTTATAACTTACTTTCTCCAAAATTCCCCCGCCCCGTTAACATAAACAACCTCTTAACTTTAGTGTTCTCCCCCCATATTGTTACTCTATGTAAATTTATCCACTTAAATAACATATATTTATAAATACTGTTTTGCTGTTTTGTTTTACATTCTCAACTGAGTACTCCCGTAGTCCAACTTACCAACACCGGTTAATGTCCTATTAGAGCTTAGCGAAAATTTTTTTTTTGTTTCGTTTTTTTTTCTTTCAACTGTGACATTGGCAAAATCATCAGTTCTCATATTGATGGAGCCATAAAAATAAAAAGTGAAGTGAAGTGATTTTTACCAAACGACAAAATAAAATAAACGCAATTTTAAATAAAACACTTAATTTAGTGTTAAAAAAATTATTGAAATGTTGTTAACAAAGGGTCTGCAGCGCAGTTATGTGATTATATCACGAGTAAAGGGCATTAGAGCATTCTCATCGATGCACGTATCGAATACGATAGAAGATGAAAAAATTAAAGCAAAATACGACATTATTGTTGCCGGCGGTGGTATGGTTGGATGTACATTGGCCTGTGCTTTGGGTATGTATAATTTGGACTATTGTTTCGAAATATTACATTTGGCCTTAATATCGCAATAACCTCTACATGTAATATATTTGTGGAATGTTTTTAGGTAAAAATCCGTTGCTTAGTAAACTGAAAGTGTTGCTATTGGAAGGCAACACGAAACAGGAGTTTCATTTAAATACCGAATACAGCAACCGAGTCGTGGCTCTCAATCAAAACACAAAGTCTTTGATGAACTCTCTGAATGTATGGAGACATGTGGAGAACGCACGTTTACAACCCGTTAGGTATATGCAAGTTAGTATATTACTTACTTGACTTAAGCAACAATGTAATGGAAAACATAAATGTAATGATTATTACTTTACTGACCTGTCATGTGTCCTAGAGCTAAACAATGTTTAATGTGCAGCTGTGTTGTCGTCCACCATTAAAAAAAAAATTATGATAAACTGTTTACCAAAAGTGTTACACACACCATGTCTCTATGACATGTGACAGGTGAATGCACAAATTGCTCCAGCTTGAAGTTTGTGGGCTCACCAGCCCACTTAGGCAAGATAAAATCAATGCCCACCACCACATAAAATAATTGAAAACACATATTTTTTATACCTTAACACAAAAAACCACAATGAAAAAAAAATGTATTTGTAGAGTAGTTTATATAGATAATTAAGGTTTTTTTTTTCAAATGTGGTGGCTCCCTCTGGACATTTAGCGCTCACTCGGGGATGGTAGGGACCACTTTGGGAAATGTGGTAGACAGATAAAAAATCTAAATCACTAGAATCTTCAAAGTAGAATCCCTAGTAAATGCGCTGTAGGAGACCGAAGGTTTGGCACCTACCTTTTCCAACGAATTAGCTTAATCACTTGAGTGGCAACATTTGGGTCAACCTGCTGTGTGTAGTCAATTTCATCCATTTAATGTAGCTCAATTCATTGTGTTCATTAAGCATGTGTAGTATGTTACTTTGTTATCAAACTGTTTATTGATTAACCATACAAATTAATTCATTCTCTTTATTAGTTTATTTTCAAACAGTATTGAAATGTACATATCCACCTTGTTATAACTAACTATATCAACATTTTTTAGCAAAATTGAGTTATTAACATATCTAGGATCTGTGAAAGGAAACTTACAACTCCGCTTTAATCAGTTTTTTAATATCTTATTTAGTTTGTTTTATTGTTAAGCAAAATCAGCATAATTGACATTTTATTATAGTCTGTCTTTTTTGAAGACGGAGTAAAATAACAGTTCATTGCGCAAAAGTGTTGTTACGAACAGCTAGTGATTGATTCAATTGACTATTGACTGAATATTATATTGATCACAGCTGAACTTGTGTCATGTGAGTCATCCTTGGCTCATTATTCATCCAATTACTGAGCACAGGTTACATTTTTAACTAAGTTCATACTTATATATACATACACTGTGTTAGAACTATGTTTGTGAAACATACAAAGAGGAGACAAACTTCAAAATTTTTATTTTTATTCAATATAGGTAATTCAATCTGGCTATTTTTGTTAAAATGCATCTGAATAAAAATTGATCTGGATACTAGTAGGCCAACTGTCAAAATAAGAATAAAGAAGGCTGTAATGCAATTACCAATCATTCAGTCATAACATTCACAATTCAGTAATTTTTGGCAAAATTATAATATCTTCTTTGACAAAACTATTCTATTGATAAAACTATTGACAGCCATGACTTATCTATTTCTATTCTATTGATTTCTATTGATATATGATTTTGCCAATTTCATGTCAGTCATGGGAGTTACACTTTCGTTTTTTAGGTGTTTAGTTAATTAACACTGCTCTTTAGTCTATTCCGGCTTCTGGAACAATACAGAACAATACAATGTACCATCACCGTTACAAATATTTAATTTTATAATTTAAGTTTGTTAGTAATAATAAAATCAGTTATTAATTCTAAGAGGGTATTTGTAAAAACATATAACAGAAACTTGAAATTTATGGGACGAGGAATAGAAGGTGGAAGATTATCATAAATAGAACAAGTTCTGGTAGGGCAGCTGAAAAATATGTGGTCTGGGGTGCCTTCACCCAGGCCGCAATCACAAATTGAGATATCCCGTATTCTAAGTTTTGCCAGATGGACCGAGATGCAGGCATGACAATTCGAAGTCAGCGTACTGTAGTAGTAACAGTCTTACTAAATCCGTTATGGAAAAAGAACCAAGGGTTTTTGGGGATACTTGTTTGGATGTCGGCGAAATATTTACCCTTAGTGAGTTTACTTTTGCTCCACTCTGCGCTCCATGAGGAAAACATATCATTGGCAGCTAAAAACAGGAGGTCATAAGAGTATGTCTTGTAATGAGTAAGACAGCCTGTTTGGATAGCTTGACTTATCTAGATTTCTCATAGATGGCGCTACGACTAAAAAGTCGTTGAAAAACCAAGTACAAAGACACGACCCAAGCACATAGAAAAATTCGTGGAGGTCCGTTGGTTCGTTCCGTGGCTTAGTTGGTATAGCGTCTGGCACGGTATGCAAGAAGACGTCGGTACGAATCCTACCGGATCGAAGGAATTTTTTCTGAGTGTTCGATCTTTGTATTAATAATTATAACAAACTAGTGGAGTAATTTCACAAAAAATAATTGAATATCAATTCAATAAAAATTTAATTGACTTATCTATTTAAAATTTTACAAAAACTGGCAACCCTACATGTCATTTTAATGTGTCTTCAAAAAAGATGGACTATATGATAGATAAATCCTTAGGTGCCAATATCTTGAAAATTACCGAAATACAAATGCGTTAGTTATGACAAGGAGGACAGACATTTACTTATCCCATATATAAATTACACTAATATGACCACATTCTTTTAGGTATGGGATGCCTGCTCTGATGCTTTAATATCCTTCAGTAGTTCAGAAGTCTTCGATGATGATTTGGCCTACATAGTAGAAAATGATCTTTTACTAAATGCAATAAATCAAGAACTATCCACAAACAATGTTGATGTAGTGTATGGTGCTAAAATTGCAGAATATCAATTGCTTAGGAGAGATAATAGTGGTAATGATCCAGAGAGTTTGGTCAAGATGAGCAATGGAGATGTCTATGCCTGTAAACTTTTGGTAAGTTTTGATCACTTTATTTATGCTTTCGAGGTTAAAGGGATTTCTTTAAAAATACAATGGCAAATGCCACAAAATAACTCCTGCAATGCGGAAATATTGCCATGTACCACCGTATCCATTTCTGCCGCCAAGCAATAATGTGTGCATTCATGCGTTTCGGTGTTTAAGGGTGCTGGTGAAATTACAAGCACAAGGGACTTCTCAACTTGTCTCAGGGTGACGGCGTAGTAGCAGTGCCTCTCAGATATTTGGGATTTTTAAACTCTGAATGGGCTGCAACTATTACGGATAGGCATATCACTTACCACCAGGTGCACAACTTGTTCGTCCTGCCACTTGGCACCATAAAAAAAGACGTAAGTTAAAATTCAGTAGTAAAAATGAAGGTGGTGTATAAAGTATACACTGTAACCTATACATAAAGAAACATTTATCATAGGAAATGAAACTATTTTTCCGGATTTAAGTCGCGTATATCGAAAACCGTGTATCGCGAAAACCTAAGAACTCGATATAAACATTTATCATTTAAATTCAAAACTACAACATCACAATGTACATATTATGTTTATTATATTACTGTATATACTCATGGTATTGGGTACAAAAAGCTGGTACAATTGGCACAATTTTTTTATAAATGCATATTAGGAGTAGGCATCTGTTTACGTAAGAAAAATATGTATTTACAATGGTGTAGGATATGGGGTAAAGAGTATGACAGAAAAATCAATTATATTTCAGCTGGAAAACAACTTGAATTTAATTTAGTGTTGTTATCCATACAATTGTAGACAGGGAAGAAAAGAAGTAAAAGCCAAAGTACAACGTTTGCAAGGCGAGTGAAAGAATATATATTTTAATAGCAGTAGACCTCCTTGTGAAAGAGTTTTTCCAGGGAAGTTCTGTCATCTTGCCTATTTCTGCCATTAAATAATAACGTGAACATTGCTGAGATCCGGTTTTGTAGGGTAAGGTTGCTGATGAAATTACAGTACATGGGGCTGTCAACTTATGTCTCAAGGTGACGGGCGCAGTGGCGGTGCTCCTCAGATTTTGCTCATAATACATAAAAATCAAATATCTTCATAAATGTTTTGGTTCATACTAACTAAAACACTTTTTAGTTTTTATAGCCATAATCATTGACCTGTCAAAAAAAGGTCAATGGCTGTGGTAGTACTTAAAAATGTCATTTTTTGATGAAATGTATTTCTTTGACTAAACAGATGGATAGAGCTTAAAAATTTAATCCAACTACATCAATGACTCATTTATTATGAAATTGACCTTTACGCTTTCCTTTTCCCGAGGTATCAGTAAAATAGTTCCATTGACTACCCGTATGTTGTATGGGGAAGTAATTATTTCCTCTGTACTCTGCCTAAACGAAGCTAGCTGCCATTCTAATTTATAGAGGAGGCTACACCGACAGAAGCCTGGCTCTATTAAAGGATGAGAATAAAATGTGATAATTTTTTTATTAAGTTGGTTGCCCTATTTAAGTAGGCTGCACTATATTTAATTTACTTTCGATAGCATTTAATCTAGCCTCTGTAGTCTCAACCAATCTGTTGATTTTCTTTGTCAAATCCATCAATTGAGTCTTTATATCAACCATGCAGATTTCTTGAATAGCACCAATGTTTAAAGATACTGGTCTGTTGTTGCCTGATGTAGTCCTTTTTCTCCTCTCCACCTTTTTTTGACTCTCCGTCGAATATCTATCATATAAATTGCTTTTTCGTTTAATTAGCTGTTGCTTTTGACCACCTTCTTCATCTTTGCACTTCAATCGTAATTCGTAATTATTGTTTTTGCGAATGCTGCTCTTCGTATTTTTTCGACTGCATACCATTTTGTAAACTGATGCTATCAGGTCTTTGGGGAGCTGGAATTAGTGAAAATTAAAATATTCAAGTAAAATCTAAGGTGTTTTTACATGTATGTATATAACGGCCAGAATTGAAATCATAATTACCTGCGGAGTGTTATTTAACAAATTCATTAATTATGTTGAACGTACTTATATCAAAAAGGAGAATAAAGTATTATATTGACATTTTTGAAGGAAATTGTTAAGCTGATGTAGGTCCGGTTACTCCTATAGCTGTTTGGTCAATTGATGTCCCTGATAGAGATTTTGAGACATACCCTATTTTCCCGCGGGTCGTTAGGACGAATATTCAACGTGCGTGTGTGGGAAGCAGTCAGTAAAGCTCCCCATCGCAGTACTGCGATCAGTTGGTTCGGTGCGCATCTCAGCAAAGGACTGAAGAGCATACTCTCAAGATGGGCCACTAACTGAGTTTGCCGCACCAGTCTGTCTAGTCCCGCACTTTCTTGCAGTGCCTGTAAATTTTTTTCTTTTATTGAATATTATTGGGATGACATTTTTTTCTAATTGTAAATGACCTTAAATGTATAGCAGTAAAGAAACCTGATTTGTACTCTGCCATTCATTCCGACTGCAGTAATGGGTTATACAATTTTATAGCTGATCACACGAAGCTAGAATTGACTGTTTCAAGTTTTAACATTGAAAACTATTAATAATAATAATAATAATAATAATAATAACGAGGGTCTCGTGAAAGCTGACACCGAGAAACGCCGGAAGTATCTCGACCTGGCGCACGAGATCACCGACATGTGGGATGTGGCCTCCACTGAAATAATCCCAATTGTTTTGTCCGCAAATGGGTTAATTCCAGTCAGCCTTTCTAACAGCTTGAGGCTGTTGGATTTCTGTGGCGTGTCGCTTCCAGCACAAATGCAGAAGGTGGTCCTGCTCGATACGGCACGTATTGTTCGCCGATTCTTGGACCTGAGTCCCTGACCCCGGCAGACTGTGCCATAGCCGGGAAATACCGCCTCTCCCATTTAAAAATTCAAAATTAGTCTTTTAGGCCTTGGGAGAGGCGAGAGATTAAAATAAAAATAATAATAACGCACACACTCAACATAGCCGCACTAGGGAAACCCTGTGTCGCGGTTGCCATGGACACATAGACAACCACAAATTACACCCAAACTCACGAGAGAAATAAATCTAGGCCATACAAACATTTCTCCCGGCCCGGGAATCGAACCTGGGACCTCTGCGTGGCAGTCCGGCATGGTAACCGTTCGGCCACAGAGGCAGTTAAAAGTTATTGATTGAATATGTTTCACAATTTGGCTACTTTTAATTAGACATTATTAGAAAGAATACGAGTCGAAAAAAAACATTCGAGATATTTACAATTACAATACAATATTAAATTTACCTGAATATCGCTAACAGCCAAACCGACCAACAAATTAGTCAGAATAACAGTGACAAGCAATGCAAAAATCAGGAACATCACATATGCCGTCAAGGGATATTGTATTGGATGTTCGTCTGTGTTGTTGTAGAATATATCCTCGTATTCTAATTCTCCTGACATCATCATGACAGTCTTGACCAGAACCTCAGGTATGTGAAAAGCTGGATAATTACTGAATAACACGCTGAATGCTAAACCGAAAGCTACTAAGAGACAGCTGTACGCAAGCAGAAACTTTGAAAAATTTACTGTCACTGAAAGAAAAGTAAAAAATTACATGTTTCGAGTCTATTAAATTTTATTCCACAAATCCATACCAACGTAGTACTTGCTACGCGCATTGTGGATTTGTGGAAAGAAAAATCATCACCAAGATATTATTTTATATGTTAGGTATATTCAATGTGGTTTTTCAGCGCCAATGTCCCGTCAACATTACGACACAGATTAATTCTGTTTGTTTTCTTAAATTCAAAATGGCCGTTTGAATTTCCTTTAAAATATTGAATTATTCTTAAATGTGTACATAAACAATTTGCTTATCTTCACCCTTGAACGCGTACGAGAAGTCAACTCGGTTCTACTATAAGGATATTCAAAATGTCTTGTAGTCTATTTATCATAATATAATATTGACTACAAAATACTAGTTTTTTAATCGTAAAAGATTTTGGTTTTGTTGCATACGGGAACACAAAAATAACCAATTATAATTTAGTAGAAGCACAATTTGAGAAAGTTATGTATAATAGAACGTTTATTTTATTTTATAAAAAAAATATTGTAACGTCCATGTAAAACCAACCGGTGTTAAACATCTGTACGTAGAGACCAAATGTAGGAAAGCGACCGAGAATCATCATGAGCTCCAGCCAGGCTATGAATATGGTAACCGTTGCTACATCATGTTGCCAGCGAGCGGTTTGACCGCATGTTACCTTAGGGTACATCTCATTGTTACTTGTTGCATTCTGCATCTGTAATGCTGTAGGTCATATATTTTTAAGTGGGCATACTTTTCAGAAAGTACTTATGCTATCTATGATTCATTAATTCAGCTGTAATTATCATTAAATTTACGTAGTATGGTTCTTAAACAAAATCGCATTTAAAGCCCTTTACGTGTCAGTAGTATTCCCACCTGCGGAACATTTCTCATCCGAATCCCATTTTGGAATCTGAAAAACATCAAAAAGTAAGTATAACTATTGCAGGAGAAATATCAAGCGAATCAAGTATCATGTGTTCCGTATACCTACACTGCACAAGAAGACTCCAAGTATAATAAATATTTGCAACCAATTTTCCCATTGTCGTATGTAAGCAGACCAATCCAGACAAGATTGGAATATTTCTTTTGCTAAGAAACACACGTTTAGAATTAATATTACACCTTGAATGGGTATTATGAAGGGTTTCACTTCACATGTGTTGTCTTGACATAAAAATATTGCTGAAAATTTTAAAAAAAGATGAATTAAAATTGAAACCATTAAATAACTAGATCAAGAATCCGAGTAATTAAATACTTACATAAAATAGAAAAGCTGAATAAAGTTATGAATACTGCATGATAAATGAAACTCAACACAAAAAATTTCCTTATTCTTCTCCATTTCAAAAAAAGAAACGTCTCAGCAACAGGATGCTTAAGTACGTCTTTATGTCCCACCTAAATATAGATAGTTCCATTAAAGCATAAATAATCTCCAATAATAATATTTGGAAGGCCATTAAATTAATTTAATGTAGTTTGTACCTCTATAAATGCTAGAAGTAACTCCGCTTCACCACGGGATAGACATGGCACTAATGGTCTGAAATCAATAGTCAGTTCGCAATCAACATCACCCAACTCGTGTTCGCTCACGTGCACTGCATCATCGAATTTATGCAAATATCGCGGAATTACGTCTGGAACCCGTCTAACGATGAATGACAAAACTGATACACCGCCGTTAGTGCGTAGTGTCACATCGCCACCGTAATCTGAAATTAAAAAAAAAAACATTATGAAACAATTAACTTAAAGCAGTACGAATACACCGTGTTAGAATCTTGTGTCAATAATATAAAATCATAATCCTAAGCCTGATAATAGCATCACAAAAATTGGTTATACCTAGCAAAAGAAGAACGCAGGCAGAAAACTCATTCAGTGCAGCAATGTGCAAAGGAGTGTAACCAAAGTTGTCCGGAGCGTTCGGGTCGGCTCCCACTGAGAGCAACTGTCGTGCTACATCGCAGGCCCGAGCACCTCGCACTATTGAGCCGTGTAGAGGTGTCCGACCATCTACATCTCGTGAGTGTACATCAGCATTCATTCCAACTAGTAGTTCTACCACCTCCACAGATTGCGCTAAAGCAGCTGTAAAGAAGACATATTCCGGATTATTGCAAATAAGAATTTGACAACGTTTACAATTATAATAGTACACTTTGCTTCAAAATTCATTGACCAAGATGAAGCGGCGTTTGTCCCCGAAAATTTAGACAGTCGATGTGCGCTCCGTGATTGAGAAGTAACCGGGCACATTCCGCGTGACCATCTTCTGCTGCCAGGTGGAGAGCTGTAGCTCGTCCCGTTCCTAGTGCAGCTCTGACGTCTGCACCTGCATCGAGCAGAAGCTTTGTGCATGTGGCCAAACCTAGGGATGCCGCTACATGGAGAGGAGTTTCCGTGTACACCTGTGCAATATAACAATTGTACGAATTACTGACGCATTCGTTTATGTGTTGATATATTCATTGCGTTTGAGTCATTGTCGAGTACCTACAATCGAAATAATCTTACCTGTGGAGTATCAGGACATGCGCCTGCGTCTATTAAAGCTTTGACAACTTCGGGTGCGTCGCTAAGAACCGCATAATGTAACGGAGAGCGCTCACTGAGAAGTGCGTTCACATCAGCACCATAAGCTATTAACATCTGAAAGGTGCCAAAAATATTATCCCCCATATTTAGGTCACACTTTTATCTTTAGTATCCTGTTTACCTTAACACAGGGTAAGCTTTTAGCACTCGCGGCGCAATGGAGGGGTGTAGCTTTGGTATCGTGTGACGAATCCCACTTATTTGGGTCAGCTCCATGTTCTAATAACAGTGTGACACAATCTTCACTGCCAACTAAACAACTTAGGTGCAAACACGTCCTGAAATCCATAATGAAGCACTCTTAACCTTAGTGCTACATGATCTTATTTATCGTATTAAACGCGAACGACGAAGTTATACCTGCCAACGTCATCAGATGAATTTGGATTAACACCCGACTCTAATAACTTTGCCAACAAGGAACTTCTAGCCATCCAACTTGCCCACAATGCTGCTGTTCTAGCCCCAATTTCTCTCTCTGTATTATAAGCCAGTGATATCACTTCTTCATATTGCCCTGCCTCTATTAATGCTGATATTTCATCTGCATGTGGCAATTTGCGTAATGTGTATTGAATTTCGTCTGCAAGGTATTAATTACTTTACAAGTTTTTCAATAAGTATTAAAAAATCTGTTACGTTCAAATGTATGCGCAATGTGCCTAGGAGTCGTATAATCCTCTACTAGTCTTTTCCTCTTTATTTAAATAGAAATTGTATAGACGTAGCTTTGCAACAAAAGAAAGGAGCCGTTGAATCCCTAAATTAGTTCTGTATATTGGTTGACTATGCTTTGTTAATATGCATTACCTAATTCCCAAATATCCCGAGAAGGTTTGACTCTCAGACGCTCGGCTAGGTCTGCAGCATGTCCCGACTCATCACTAGATATGTATCCGGCTTCAATATCATCAGAATCATCGTCCTCTAGTTGACCAACGCACCATCTTGCATTGCCACCTGGCAAGATCTATAAAAATAATGTTAGGCATTAAAGCGTTTAGTGAACAAATATATTGAAATTACTCGGAAAGTATCACGATGAAATAATTTAATAAGTATTTAGATAAGATACTTTTTAGGTAAATTTGAACGACACCCCTCGGCACAACATTTGCCTACGTTAGTTATGGAGACTTACGTGCTCTTATGCGAATATTTCACGTAAAAAAACTCAATATCGTCTAAAATAATCAGGAAAAATTGATTGAAATGAAAATATTACTCAAAACCTAATTTTGTCACAGATGTGTAATTATAGTATAACAATCGCAATAGCTTATGAAATTGCTTTGCCCGAACTATGAAGGCACTAATAAATTGGATTGACCTTCTTCTTGTGGCTGTTTTTATTTGCATTTTTATTTTTCGATCCCATGTCGCGATGCGCGGGAGTCTATCGTCAACCACGCTTAACTAAAAACTGAAAGCTCTTTTCTCACGCCTGACACGACGACGAAATCATAACTTTGATTATAAATAGGAATACTCGACTCTCGGTTAACCTTTAGAATGTTTGTTCATTTTCACGGACTTGTTTTTATTTTCTTTTGTGCATATTTTATTGACATTCTCACGGAATATCATGTCTAATTTCGGTGATGTCGTCCATCGCGGGAATCCACTCCCACGCAATTATTGTCGAGATTTTCCCAGAATCTTCACATTTCTACCCTATTAAACATGTATATAATTTGTAACTTTCTTTTTATTATTCTTTACCCACGTGTCGTTTAAATTACCGCTTTTGTAATAGTTACGTTTACGTTCTAAATCCCACGATCAGCAACTCAAATGCAGTCAGTACCCGGTTAAGATTACATTGCGTAATATAAAAATAATCTCCCGATCGAGCTCACACTCTGTTTTTACGATGTGTTGAGTTTACAATTCGAACAAAGCTTTAGGTATTTACATCATATCCAATTTTGCTCGCATTGTTACCGTCAATATGCATCGCATATTTCATGGATACAGGAATGTTGACTAAGTATACGACTTACTCTACTGGAATAAGTTATGTTAATGAAATTTCCATTTTTTTAAGTTTTATAATATCAAGTGACGGGGCGAACAAGTCGTGCGCCTGATGATAATCTACACGCCTGTCCATAACAGTTACTGTGCCACACAAGAGTTTTAAATCGCAAAGATCTGATGGGCACTGCCACTGCGCCCGTCACCCTGTGACATAAGTTGACAAGTCCCATGTGCCTGTAATTTCACCAGCACGCACCCTTACCCTTCAAAACCGGAACACAATAATGTTGACATTACTGCTTGGCGGCAGAAGTAGGTAAGGTGGCACCACTTCTCTAGACGAACTTTTTCTCAGGAAGCTCTACTGCTACTAAAATGAATATAATACAGTATACATATAATATACTATATGATATATTATATATAATATACAATAAATATATAAATATAATACTAAAATTCAATTCTTTGTCCATTGTCAATTCTTCACAAAATTACATTTCATTGCTTTTATCACAAATCAATGTAAATGCATTAATTACATCTTCCATTTTGTATTACATACATACTTGACGCCAGGTGAATCTCAAGAAATTAGCCTGTATTTGCTTTAGGTTCTTCGTTTAAATTAAACATGTCATAACTGTTAACGATACCATACGCACGTTCCTCTGTTCCTGCCAGGTAAACAATTTTGCCTTGTTTCGTTTCCAATATTAGCCCGTCATAATTGAACAGTGGAAGTTACGAGTATAGCCCCAGAAATTACCTTGAAATGTGAACAAAGTCTCGAATACACCTGAAGCGAAACTATAGTGTGACTAATAATTTCGGTATTACATGACTTCATCGAAAACGAAGCTTGTTATTGTTGCATACACAATTTTCATGTATATTTTAGGACCTAACCACACAAAATCTAATTGTAATAATTAATTCCACACTTTCGCTGTGAAACGTTGAGTGTGAGATCTCGTCTAGCGCCCTATCTGGCATTTTTTTTTTACTTCACTAATAACTCAATTACTGTCTTTATTTCTATATAATTTTTTGTTGCCAATACCCACGTACTATGAGTATATACACAGTGGTTCTTGGCTACTTATGATATGGGTTAAAATATGAAATTGCTGTTCTATGTACGCATTCAAACAAAAAAATTATCTTAACATTTGGCTAGGAGTCCATACTTTAAGGTAGATTGGTAGGGAACGGAAAGCCACAGTCTTGAAATTCATTTTCGAGTCCTGCAAAGGAACTAAATTTAATTTCTGGTATACATATAATATGTAAATTGCGAAGAAAAGGTAGTCGGTACAGAGTCAATTCAAGTGAGCTTGAAGGGTGGTAAAGAGTTTAAATTTGCAACTCCTGTAGTGACGATATTTTTAAGAAGAAAAAAATTACAATTCTGAAAAGAAAAAAGGTTTCTCTTTTCTGAGAAAAGAGATAACCTTTGTCTTCCAGCTTATGTTAAGTGTGCACGCTGTTCCTTTTATTCTTACTTGTAATAGTTAAAATTAATACATGCTTATTGTTTACCGTTAACGATCTTTTTCAGACATTGTTTAGACGTACGTCTTTCTGTCGAGCGTTTGCACTACACTTTCCGTCTTGCGATCATCAAAGACGTCCTAAAGGCGTTTCTCTACTAGGTACTCCGTGTATAATACAAACAGAATGTCAGATAAGTTATGAAGAAACGATATAAATAATGAATTTGAGTAGAGAACGCCCTTATGTGTTATGTAATACCGTTTAACTTCGTAAGTCAAGGTAAATTTAAATAGATATAAACACTCGCTACGCTTTTGATTATTAAATCACTTTTGATATCCGACTTTTAGTTTATAGAACGGAATATGTATAATAAAATAACAAATGCTAATCCTTAGCTACCTCCTGGAAGAGACCGGTAGCCGATGTACAGGGTCAAGAGCACGTCAAGCTTGACACTTAAGACTTAAATCCAACTCTATGCCGCTTACGATAAGAACGGTCCAAAATGCAAAGTGTCAAGCTTGACGTGCTCTTGACTGTACACAGGAAGGCGTAATCATTTCAGCCGAAAGGCTGAACGTAAGCCTCCCCCATAGATCGCCACAACAGCCGGTTCTGCGCCGCTTCCATCCAGCGGATTCCCGCAACCAGTACCGGTCCAAGTTGTGAGTGGTCTGCCCGCACTGGGTCGATACTCGAGAACTCTTTGGCCTCATCGGCTATCTGTTCTGCGAGCAATGTGCCCCACCCACTGCCACTTACGACGAGGTATTTCAACGCGAGCCTGGATTTTAGGGGTGAGGTGTTGGGGTCGCCCCTCGCATCCCATAATCCGCGCGGTGTAAAATAAGAACAGGCGGAAAAATTTGACACCGATCCGACGTCAACAAGTACCCGATGGTGACTAACGGGGCAACCGGCCGCACGTCGTGTCGTTAATCCGCTGGGTAATTTGCAAATTTTGGGATTCATGTGAATTTAACAACTATAGGGCTTCCGGTGAAATCCGAAATCAGCCGGCTGAGAAACGATTAAATATCTCCATATAAAAATTATGCACAAAGTTAGATATTTTATTCATAAATAATTCGTCTTAGACTTTTATTTTATAGCCTGTTCTCAGGATTTTATATGATCGGATAAAGTACATCCTATCGTGTAACAAATTAGCAAATTCTTTAGACAATATCCTTAGATGTCTCGTATATTTTTTGTAAGACCGTTATTTAATAGTAAATACCTAAACCATTTGATTTAGAAAAACAGTTTTTCACGCTTCTCCTCTTGTGACTCGCCTTAAGTTTTGCATTTTTTTGAGTTATGTCGGTTACTTTGGTTCTTGTGCGGATATTCTCATTTCTGATTCGATCTCACAGGAAAACTCCGGGCACAGCTCTGTCATTGACTTTGGGTTGTCTTGAGCCTTCTTACGAGTCCCGTGGTGATCGACAACAGTTATGTAGGTTTCACCAAATACTTGTCTTGCTCATATTAGTGTATAGCAGCTATCTTGTATTTGGGCTCAAATTATTCGTTTTGACGAGGACTTCAATGGTCTTCAAGGAACACAAGAGCACAGCGAAAGCGGATAGCAAAGTTTTAAAGTCAGTTTTCTTTATAAAAAAAGTTTATTAGGTTTTTCGTGTTGATCAACCAGTGATCTTTTAACCTGTTCCTACTAGACGAAGAAACAAAGTAACCTAATTTTTTTCAAAACAATTACTATTTAAAAAAATCTGTTTGTCTAAGGTCACTTACCGGCTGTATGGTATCATCGGCACATGACTGACACTCGAACATGACTGGTTCCTCCAAAATCATAACTTCCGAACATTTACCACCGACAACAGTGCTTATTGTACATCATCACAAGTCGTCTGTCTGATTGAAATGCTATTTTAAAATAAAAGAACATTAAGGCTCTATTTACAGAATGGATACATACCATGCTGGTCTACCATGCAAAGAGGTCCCGGGTTCGATTCCCGGGCCGGAAGAAATGGCCTACATCTATTTATCTCGTGAGTTTGGGTGTAATATGTGTGTGTCCAATGTCCATGGCACCCGCAACACAGGGTTTCCCTAGTGCGGGGCTATGAGTACATGCCTTATGATTATTTTTATATTATTCCCTTCCATGGTAATGTAAGTTGAGCTTTGGATAAAGATATATGGATCCTACGTACTCATAATTTTATAAGACACCACTTTTGAAATCGCAAAAGAAATCTGTTTCATTGATTTGGTATTTACATATTGTTTTTAGCGATTTGAAAGAAAGTCCCATACTAAAATTAGCTAAGGCTATGTATGTAGGATGTTACTTTCTTATTTTTGTACGGGCTATTAGTGAAATTATTTAAAATCTGATTTAAATAATTTACTTCTATAAGCAATTTATGATTTTCTATTTTTAATAGGTATCTAAATTGCTCTTAAACCGTCCAGCAATAGAAACAACTTCAGAGTTTTTTTAATAGTCACGGCTCACTGCGATAGAGATCCAAAAAAATAGTTTCATTACCTATGTGTAATAATCGTTAAAACCTTAGTACTGAGTCCAAATTGCAATTTTTTTAAATTTATTTGCTGGATGTTTCGACTTTTAGTCAGGTACTAATCATTAGAAATATTTTTATTACATAATTTCTTATCTTTATATAGGTTACTAGACAATTAAATCTTTGCCAACAAAGATATCTGTTTACCGTGATCTAATTTTAATATGACCGGATATTGAAAAACGTGCAATCCGATTTATGGTGACGCGACGAATTTATTATAAAACTATATCAACAAACCAGTAATACTTTCCAGACGTTTGAAGTAAATTAGGTCAGATTTAAAATTTATTAGAAAAACAAACATGATGATTTCATTGAACAGACAATACGTCGGTGTTTTTCAGGGGAGCAAGTTTAAGCTTTTAACGACTGTTTTAAAATATTTATGTATTTTAAGGTTAAATTTAATTAAAAAGAAACTTAAATTTTAAAACAACGTAAATATTTCAAAACACTCGTTAAAACCTGAAACATGCTCCCCTGAAAAATCTACGAAATGAACGACATTTCGTAGATTTAGATATCCCGATCCCGGCGTTTTATAGGAATATATATATATAGTTTTATATAAGCGTATAAGACACCGACGTATGTCGACATCATTTGTTTTTAGTAAAAATACACGGCACACACTCATTTGCTTACATTATCAAAAGAAAAGTGGGTATAAAATGCTTTATAAACAGAACTGAGTAAAATCGTTGTCATACATAGTGTATTTTAACGAAGTACAGTCGATGCCCTAAGATACTTGCCCCACTAGCCGACCTTTTGATTTTGACAGCCATCTTACGCATTCAACTGAAGAGTGTTGAAGGACTTCCCATAAATGATTGAAATTTGTTGGAATTTAAAAAAAAAGAACCTATTTGGACTCAACTTTTAATCATGTACAAATCGTTAGACATATTTTTATTTTGTAGTTTCTTATATTTATATAGGTTACTCGTCAATTAAATATTTGCAATTAATGTTGCAAAGATTTAATTTCCTTGAGATGTAATTGATTTGCGTATATCTTATTTAAATACAGTACGCACAAGAGAAACTTTCTAAGCCAATTTAATCTATTAAACGTCATTCACTAATGATGGAATCAAAAGTCATACAAAAATGAATTTTATAGTTCACAGGTTAAAGGTTGTCAAACTACACTTTTCTTAACACTTATCTACTCAGAAATAAATGATCAGTTAGGGGTTAGGTACCTTATGGCATCGACTGTACCTTTACTAAAAATTGAAAGATCTAGAAGTTGCTGTTTATCAAAAGAACGCATTGCCCTGTGAATGAATCATTGAATACTGTTTCTTGCATTTCGTTTCTTGTTTATTTTTTTATAAAATTGTATTTTTTTTTAAATTTTGAATATTCTCATCTATGACAAAAAATACGGATGCATGTGGAATATACACAGTGAAAAGTACATCCTACTTGTCAATGTGGAATTCGTACCGTTATCGTAAGCGGCATAGAGTTAATTTGAATCTTAAGTGTCAAGCTTGACAGGCTCCTGACCCTGTACTTCATAAACGTTTCAATATGTCTATATGATTCACATGCCAATGTTCTTTAAGAACAAATACGTATCTACATCTTCAAGCACTCGTAAATAAATATATATTATAAATATAAATATTTTTAAAACTGCTTGCCTGTTTTCTATTTCCTAATGGAAATATAGTTTTAAAAACGGACTTGTTCCCATGTGTATCACACTGTTCTGAAAACTTCAGCCAACCACTTGGTAAGAGTTCTCTTATAGCACTGCAAACTCGCTAATCCTTACACCTTCAACACAAATAAACACTCCGAAAATAATAATTACAAACAATCTGTTCGACGCATTTTCTTAGAAATTGAGGATATATTTAAGATCTTCATTTATTATTCTTGATCTCTACAGTTACTGGTTCAAGTATCTCTTCTAGTCCATGTGGAGAAACGCAGTGATAGCGTAGTTTGAAGAACACTTTTCTCATATCGTCGCAAACAACACCGCTCAAGTGAAAATGTACAGTTTTTTTACTTTTCAACGTTACTCGAGTCAAAATATCTATTAATAAAAAATTAATCAACACTCACAAAATTATTAGTAAACAGCGATTTAAAAATAGTTTCATTTTCAATGTGTAACAATCGCAAGAACCTTAGAACTCGATATTTGAAATTAATTGATGTGGTTAAGTTCCCTTGGGGGCCGACGACCACAGATTCGTTTCTAATAATGTGCAGTTTAGACATTGACTTACAAATAAATGGACGACGGGTCTAATACAAAAACCACGAAAAAAATGTCCCAAGTCAACCTATTCGAAATTTAAATTGTTATGTCATCGCAGTATCGCGCTATCCGTAGAACAAATGAAGACTAAAGCGGAGTGTCGCGCTCTGTATACGATTTTAGCACCTTACAAGTGCGGACACTTTTTAGCGCGGACCCGACGTCCATATAATTGTAAGTCAATGAGTTTAGATATCTAATAAACTTTAACAATGAAGGAAACATCAGAACGTCCGAGAAAAATCGCATTACGCTTCGAAGACGTGCAAATTTCCCAACACAGCCATTTCCGATTAGGGAACCAGGGAACGTCCCACTGCAGGAGGATATATATGCTGTAACTGACGGTCTGTCCTGTTACACCTGTCGATATTTTGCTCGTTGCATACATTTTATGTCGTTGACCCATGCCTGGTTTGAGTAATCTTCCTATACCGTAGGTGGTCTCTACTTGAAATGTACTTACTACTTGAAATCGTCTCGCTTAAGGTTTGTGGAACACGCAGTAAGTGGGCCCAAATATCTGTTGTATGTTGTCCGGGCAAACAATGAGCGTCGATTGTTAGCCACTGTCTTCGCAATAAGCGTGGTTGAATATTGGAAAAATGTATAGAGTTCACGCAAAAACACCCCTAATTTGATGTACGAAGTGTTAATTGTGACTGAAAATCAGTGTTTTGCTTTTGGGCAAACTCCGCACTGAGGCACGACCTATTTGGCTTGCTGCAGTGCACACAAGCTGTTGATCATGTGGTTAATTAGTTACGTGTGTTACACTTTTAATTAAATTATTGTTATATTGTTGTTTGTATGATGCAAGAAAATAAACGTTTTATCTATTTGTTTAATTCATTGCAGATTGGCGCTGACGGGGCGAACTCGGCGGTTCGACAAGCCATGGGCGCTCAGTACCTGTCGTGGAACTACGACCAGAAGGGCGTTGTAGCTACACTGCATTTAGCTGAGGTACTTCAGCCATTTAATTTCCGGCTTTGTTTTTGAGATATTGAGTATCTCGTGAAGTGACGATATTCGCTTCGCACGCGCCAGTCACAGCAACTAACTTGTATGGATGGATGTGATCAATATCTGCGTCACCAGAAGCAAAATTTCATGTCAATTTCAATTTAAACTTTATAAACCAATCACCAAGTCAGAACGACTTATAGATAGGGTAGTGTGGAGTGTATTAATCATGATTGATCTTTAATAAAAACAGAATCTTGCTTACTGAATACGTCATTATGTAGAAACTAGAAGGTCGTCAGTTTTCATCGTTGTAGATTAGTCACCTTATTTGTCTAACACGGCGCAGAGTCACTACCTACATATCGATGGTGGACATTTGAAATGTCTCTTAGGACATATTTCAAATTTCCACGGTCGATATAAGTGTATCAAACTTTGAAATGTCGTAAGCGACATTTTGTAGTGAGGAACATTTTCCATTACGATAAAATATTCCTTACAACATTTCAAATTTCCACTGTCCATATTGTTTATTAAAAAAACTATGCTATTATCTTACAGGAAACCGAGAATACAACAGCATGGCAACGGTTCCTTCCAACCGGGCCGGTAGCATTGCTGCCCTTGGATTCAAAACGTAGCTCGCTCGTGTGGTCAACGAATCACAGCCACGCCACACATCTACTCAAATTGCCTGACGAACAGTTTGTCGACGCTCTTAATGATGCCTTGGTAAACAACAAAACGTTAACAATAATAGTGATGGATCAGTGGAAATATTCTTTGTGACAGGAACAAGACTCAATTTCCGGTAACGAATTTTTGGGTACTGGTTACCCAGTATTAATTTTCGTAACGCTTATTTATGGCTACTCTACACGTATAAAGTGATGAAGTAAGTAACAAGTTTTTTACTTAATTAATGCGTATTTCGCATTAATTAAGCATTTCGTCGGTTCGAATCCGACCGGATCGAAGGAATTTTTTCTGAGTGTTTTTTCTGAGTGTTCGATCTTTGTATTAATAATTATAACAAACTAGTGAAGTAATTTCACAAAGAATAATTGAATATCAATTCAATAAAAATTTAATTAATGCGTATTTCACAAAAAATAATTGAATATCATTTCAATAAAAATTTAATTTCAGTTATAGCGACATCTCTAGCCAAGCTTGGTAGCTGTAAAGGTATCTAACCGGGTGACGAAATACTTTCATACAGTTCTCATAGATATCGTTACGGCTAAAAAGCCGTTGAAAACCAAATACAAAGATCCGACAATAAGGACATAGAAAAATTCATGAGGTCCGCTGGTTCGTTCGCTGGCTTAATTCGCATAGCGTCTGGCACGGTTAGCTAGGCGAAGTCGGTTCGAATCTTGCCAGATCGAAGGAATTTTTTCTAAGTGTTCGTACGTAGTTCGTAACTTTGTAATTAATACTATATAATTATAACAAACTAGTGGAGTAATTTCACAAAAAATAATTGAATACCAATTCAATAAAAAATTAACTGTTAAGTAACCAGCGGTGGATAAGTACATAATTAAATTAGAATAAACCTATTTTAGACGAAGTAGCGGATCGTCCCGAACTCCACGCATTCCCGCCGGTAGGCGTGGCTTTATTAAATAACATTTTTGTTGTATGGTTCCACTATGTATGTACTTATAGCTTCACTAAAACACGTGTAAACGTTAGACTACTTTATATTCAGTTAAAACTTACTTAATTAAGTAACGAAGTAATTACTTCGTCTCGTAATACGTGTAAACCAGCCATTTCTTTTTGTTTTTTTTTAAAAAAAGCCCCGCATTAAGGACACCCTGTATCGCGGGTGCCATGGAAACACACGTAGACAACAAATTACACCCAAACTCGCGAGAGAAATAAATGTCGGCCATACAGATATTTCTCCCGGCCCGGGAACCGAACCTGGGACCTCTGCGTGGCAGTCCGGCATGGTAATCGTTCGGCCACAGAGGCAGTTTAAGCCATTATAAAGGGTATAATGTAATGTAAAATAATCGCGCGTTAACATCCCGGTTAAATTAGTTTCAACCTTTATTTCATAGGTTAACAAATCGTCAAATTTATAATCTAAGATAAGCACTAAGCTTTGTCAATAGATATAGAAACACAAAAACTCCTATTTACAAGAGATTTCATCAAATATTCGTAACCTAAAAAAATCCCACTTAATTAGAGGTTTTATGCAATTTTTTTTACGCATGTATGAAAATGTGTTTTTGTTTTCTTAATTATTTAACCCCTTTTAGCCTGTGTTATTACTACTTAAAGGTAATATTCGGAACTCGTTGTCTATAGCATAGCAGCGGCGAGGCGTCCATATAACTCCATTCCCATCAGCTTGCCTAAAATTTTCCACGTATCATCAAATATTATAAATATTTTAAAGTAATTTACTACATTTTGTGCTCAATTTTACAACTAGAATAATAAACCAGTGAAATAAAGTGTACTAGTATCTATAATAAAAAATAATATGTGTGCTTATAAGTGTTGTGTTTGTTTATCGCCATGGCGCCACTTGTTAAGGCAAGTGTCTTTTGTTTAGCTCCTGCATTACTATAGACAAATTCCACGCCTCGCTACTGTAGCATAGTTAAAAAAATATATGCATTAATTAATTTTATAACGATTGTTTGTACCAAAATAAATAGAATAACTAAAAAGAGTTTAAAGGGGAGAGCATAACATCTTACAATGTTTTTCATTATAATTCAGGTTAGGTTAGTAGGTAAGTAATGTAGGTAATGTAATTAATTACTTTAAAACATTTGTTCAAACAATGCGTGACAACTGCGGTGCGCTAGCGCTTAGCACTGTAGCACCAGGCCGATAGGTAGAGCTGACTAAGGAAAAAAAATTCAAATTAATTCCCGTCGGCGTCGGGCTGCTCACGGTCTTGCTCCAATAATAATTAATTACGTTGCTCTGTACTCATGGTACAGGAAATTCTTTGGTTTAAGATCTGCCGGCTGACCTCGTAATAGATTTGTGATAGTTTTTTCAGTCAGCCTTTACAGTTACCAGAGACTGACAACCGGTGGCGCTATATCATTGAGTATATAACCAGAAAATAGAGACGAAATAAAGGCCATATATTACTGGCTGGCCGACTACTGACCTGTGTGTACGTCTCCGTATATTCCAAAAAATATTCTGTATTTATTGTAACAAAGATAATATCTCTAACAATGCTGTGCTGTTCTATTCGGTGGTGTAGGAAAAACAGCAAAACATCTAATTACAAAACAAACGGAATCACATTTCATCGGTAATTAAATATTAAATATGTAAATTTGCAATTTTCGTCCATTATAGCAAAGCTCAAGTTAACTGGTCGATTTGAAGTGAAACAGTTGACGACACCCATTGAATACATGCCCATTGACGACACCCGTCAATTGTTTCGAACTCGGGCTGGCCAATCGGAGCGCAGTTGTCACAGTAATGATTTTTTTGTTTGTTTTTTTAATTTATTAAGGCTTTGGCAAAGCCATCAGCCTAAACATGAAGTTTAATCATGTTTCTGTAAATATGGCCGCCACAAAAATAATAAATCCAAGCACGCCGCCATGACGCCGCCTCAAATTGTCTATCCTCATAGACAATTTGAGGCGGCGTGCTTGGATTGACTCAGGATTCCTTAAAACGGGCCGATACGGGTATTTTAGTTCGAGATTCGTATAATTTCGCGTTTTAATCTTCGATTAAGGCACAATAGCACTATCCTATTCCAATTTAAACTAGATTTCACAAAATAATTGAAAGTCAAAATAAAAACGACACTTTGCCCTCCAAAAGGTCCAGAGCGGATCTCACGGTAATGATATAGCAGAATAGTTTTCAAACAAATTAAATGATATTTTGTCTCTATTTCTGGTTATATACTTGATGCGCTATATTAATGGCAATTTTTATTTTATTGAATGTCGTGATGTTTTCACTACCATGATATCCAAAGATCTGCAGCAAGCACATAGAGAAATTTATAAGATCTGCTGACTCGGTCTGTAACTCGGTAAAAGCGGTGGCCTCTGTGAGGCATGAATTTTTCATAGCCCTTGTTCGATCTTTGTACACTGACCTACTAGGTCAATGTCTTTGTATCAATATTTTTTTTAGTAGCAATAGAGCTCCTTGAGAAAGAGTACTGCCACCTTACCTATTTCTGCCGCCAAGCAGTAATGTCAGCATTACTGTGTTCCGGTTTTGAAGGGTAAGGGCGCTGGTGAAATTACAGGCACATGGGACTTGTCAACTTATGTCACAGGGTGACGGGCGCAGTGGGTGCACTGTAACTGTTATGGACAGGCGTGTAGCTTACCATCAGGCGCACGGCTTGTTCGTCCCTTCACTTGACGTTATAAAATAATAATAATAACAGACTAGTCGATTATTTTAACAATAATTTCAGTACAGAGTGCCGAAAAAAACCCGACCTCAAAAGTCCGTGGAATTACATCTATTTGCCAAATTTTATCGAAATCGGTTACCAAAAAGTGCTCGAAACAGGATTCATACCCTAGTTTGCCACACTTAGGGTCGTATTCTAGAACTCTATTCAATCCTCAAGTCAGGATTGCACTGGAAATACGACTCTAATGGCAGGGACTTGAGTATGATATCAAGTGCTTTAAACCATACTCAAATCCTGACTTGAGCATTGAATAGAGTTCTAGAATACGACACTTAGAATATTTCCTTCTTATATAAATGGGACCAATACTGAGGTAGCCTCATTCCCAACAAAAAAGAATCATCAAAATCCATTCACAAATCGGTATCTCGTAACATACATACAAAAAAAAAATACTGTGATAATAAACCTCCTTTTTTTTAAGGTCTAAAATGTGTAAACGGCTAAATTAAGTCGGAAACAAAATATCTATCACGAGATTCATTGAATATCATGATGTTTTACTATGATATTCATATACCTATTTTTAACCGACTTCAAAAAAAAGGAGGATAACTCCGGCATTTCCGGTAACCGATTTCAATAAAACTTGTCAAATAGATGTAATTCCACGAATTTTTGGGGGTTGGTTTTTTATTTATCAAAATATTACGAATTGTAATGTTGTGACATTGGTAATATAAAATAAATTATTCTATTCTGTTCATCATGGTTTCATGTGCGTTATATTAGTTTCTGTTTTTTTTTCAGTGGAAACAGTATCCTCGCAGTAGCAGTGTAGACACCTGCATGTCCTGGGTGAGTGGTTTGCTACGTCGCGTTGGTCTACCCGACGGGGCGGTGAGGCAACTACCGCCATCTGTAAAGAATATAGCGCCTAAATCCAGAGCTGCGTTCCCGCTCGGCTTCGGCCATAGTACTAGATACGTTGCAATAGGAGTCGCTCTTGTTGGGTTAGTATACAAGGTGTAACCACGGCTATGGGACGTGGAAGGAAAGTACTTTAAATCGATACCTCCAAGGAACACTACGCCAACTTAATTTTTGGACCTGTTCTGTTTTTATTTTGTTTTTTGTATCTTTATTTTTTTACAAAATTCGGGGAGCATAATATGTATATTAGTGAATAAATATGGCTGTTTACAAAAATAGCAGAAAATGACCAAAAATAAAGTTGGCGTAATGTTCATTGGAGGTATCGAAATATTGTGTATAGGATATTTTGCTCCATGGAGACACTATTTTATTTTTAAAAGTAAGAAACACAGAATTAATTATTTCTTTTCAAAGATTTTAAAATTGCTTACCTTATCTGAACATCGAACTTACTCGCTCCAAATAGCCAAAATAAGTAAATAATTTAAATAGTATTCGACGTGAAGTTTAGCAATAATAATATGAAATAAAGGTGATTTGTAATTTATGGCCACGTCGTCGCACTCATCAAAATTCTTGAAACGAGAGGATTCGTAAGAATAGTGTAGGAAGGGAGACTTCGAAAATTGTAACAAATGGCCAGGAACTAGAAAAATCGATGATAAAAAGGTGGGATGACGACGAGGAGGTGTCAGTATCACCACAACCCTCTCCTCAGATAAAACCCATGCACATCAATGGGATCTAATACTTACAACTTTTGTGGGTGTGGGCACTCTTTTAATTAAATAATACTTAATGAATACGGGACGAACAAACAAACATACATTCATTTAACCCTCACATGCTTTATTTACTTTGATAAATATGATATAATACTATGTATGTAGAGAAAGTATAAGGCTCTTATCATGCTGGACAGAAGGAGCTTGGCAAATCATTGACAGGTTTTATCATGAAGTGTTCTTTCCTCGATTTTACAGACGGAGGAAAGAGGATGTTCTCAATTCAACTTTTTTCCTGTTTATGTTACGCGATGATTCTTTTTTGTAGAAAGTGGGTACCTCGGTAGTGAACTCGTTTAAATTTAAAGAATATATTCTACTTCTAAGGGTGACAAATCAGGGAATGAGTCCCGTACCTTGAATTTCACCCTTTAATAAAACTTTTTTAATAATAATAGTGACGGGACGAACAAGTCGTGCGCCTGATGGTAAGGTACATAACAGCTGCAGTGCCACACAGGGCTTTAAATCGCAAAGCCCTTAGGGGCACTGCCACTGCGCCCGTCACCTTGAGACATAAGTTGACAACTGCCAGCGTTCCGGTTTGGAAGGATAGGGCATCCTTCCAAACCGGAACGCTGTGATGCGCACGTCACTTCTTGGGGGCAGGGCAGTACTTCCCTGGAGGAACTCTTTCACGAGGATCTCTGCTGCTACAAAAACTTGGCATTCCATTGAAAGTGAAATGTTATGGTGACCTAGAACTTCTATCGTGAGTTTGGGTGTAATGTGTGGTTGTCTATGTGTGGCACCCGCGACACAGGGTTTTCCCTAGTGCTATGTTGAGTGTGTGCGTTTTTAAAAAAGAAAAAAAAGAACTAATCTTATGAGTGGAATGACAGACAAATTAGAGCAATCAGCTCATATAATTAATTTTGACGAAGTCTTCCATCTGCGTTTCAATTGTCGTTGAGGAGACCCCAGCAATGAACACAGCGAAAGCGGATAGCAGTCTGAAGTAGGTTTTTTTTACAAAAAAATTATTGTTTTTAAAAACTCAGACCCATCGTTTCCATAATAATAACTTTAAACTTGTAATCCACAGAGATGCCGCACATCGTGTTCACCCGTTAGCCGGACAAGGAGTGAACCTTGGCTTTGGCGACGTGAAGGATCTTACAGATATGCTCGCTGATGCTTTGTACAGCGGTTTAGAATTAAGTGAGTGTCGTTACGTAATAACTTGTTCATATTATCGTTAAACATAGGATCTTAATTTCACCAGCATCCGTACCCTTCAAAGACGGATTATTAATCTGTTTCAAAGACTTGCACTATAAACAAAAACTTAAAAAAACAGAGCTTACAAACATAAGACGGAAACTTTTTATAAAATAAGAACATATTATCGTGTCATTTGTATGTGTCATCAATTCTAACGATATTTTCCTATTTGTGGACTGAAGAAGGTTTTCAGGTTTTCTGCTTCTTTGTTTACGTTTTTTCCAATTCTAAAAAAACGAAGTATACTTAGGTTCTATTGAAATCTAATGCTTAGGATCCCTAGAACGTTTAACTTGTCAAAATTATATGCTAATCCATTTGCTTTTAGCACATCACAGCTGGTTGGAAAAATATGAGACCACAAGGCAACGACACAATGTGCCCACTCAATTAGCCGTAGACGCTTTACATAGACTGTATACCGTAGACCTAGCTCCTGTCGTATTACTCCGAAGTGTGGGCCTGCAGCTTACCAATGCCATACAACCTGTGAAGGTAAGACCAATTAATTCTATAATAGGGAATCGGACAACAAATCAGAAAGTATTTAAAATTAACTACAATGGATATACGCAGCCAAGAAATATATTATTTACGAAATTAAACTATTATTTCGCGTCTAATTCGCGTATGTTTGTTTCCGTCAGCCGTCTTACCTGCAAAGGGCCCGAAGCGTTCGTTTGTTTGAAAAAACAAATCGTCTGCTTAAAGGTAAAACCGCGTAAGTGACTGTAGAGTTCTGAGTTTTGGAACGAGTATGAACAAAAGATAACAGTTCCTAAACGAAAGAACGCCACTCACTCACTATGTCACCGGGCACGCTATGAGCATTGCAAGATTAATTTTATTATTGTAAGAGTACAATAAAAGTGCAGATTCAATTCGTGTTGTGTTATTAATTTATTATAATGGCTATTGGCACCTCCGACATTGGCGACGAGTGAAAAAAAAATTGAAAATATTTAATTGAGAAAACAAAAAACATCACAAAATGGCGTTGTCCGCGTTAAGTGAAAATGGGCTCGCAAGTAACGCTCAATTCGACCCATTTACGGAACCACATACTGTTGGTGAGCGATGGAGATCGTGGCTGCGTAACTTTACGTACTATATTGACGGCATTATAGGCCTAGCTGAGAAGCAGAAAATTGCGAGGCTCTTACACCAAGCGGGTCCTAAAGTACAGGAGATTTATGATAACTTAATTGAAACGACTGATAATTACGGTACAGTGGTGCAAAAACTCACAGACTATTTTATTCCTACAGTCAATGTGGCCTATGAAAGGCAAAATTTTCGCGCACTACACATGTTCGACTGCGAAACTGTAGATCAATTCGTTCTAAGATTGAGAACTGCAAGCAAATTTTGTGGATTTACTAACAAAGATGAAATGATTCGAGATCAACTAACAGAAAAATGCACAAACGAAGACCTTAAACGGAAATTGTTGCGTAAAGGAGGCAACTTAACCTTAAATGATGCATTGGCAATAGCTCGGATTTTCGAATTAGAGAAACCTCCCTGTTCACAGGCAACAGCTGAAAATAATGTTAATATTGTCAACCTAAAATGCTACAGATGTGGCCAAGCAGGGCACTTTGCAAGAAGTTCAACCTGCCCAGCTCTACAAGTGACTTGTAATAAGTGCAACATAAAGGGACATTTCAGTAAATGTTGCAAGACAAAACTATATGATCAGGTTGTTAAGAAAGGAAAGACAGATAAGAAAAGTAAGAGGAAAGTCATAAGGTATGTATTACAGGAAGAAACGGAATCGGAGGGGGAAGGAGAAAAAGAAGATTCAGATGATAGTGCCAGCGAAATTCATTCAGTTTTTAACATAAACTCTATGAAAAACAATAAGTGCCAAGTTAAACTAAATGATATTATATGTGAATTCATAATTGACTCTGGTGCTGCTGTGAACATTATTGATAAAACTAAATTTGAACAATTGAAGAAAAAAGGTATGGTTATAAACTTATCTAAATGTATAACTAATTATTGTACTTATGGTGGAAAGGCTCTGCCAAATTTGGGTGTGTTTAAATGTTCATTATTTTGTCATGACACAAATGTACATCTTGAAAACGTGACTATGTTAATATTTGACGGTAAAGGACCATGTTTGTTATCTAGGGAGACATCTGAGAAGTTACAATTGCTTAGGGTTGGACCATTAGTTGCGACTGTGACTAAAGACACTGTCATTGACCAATTTAAAGACTTGTTTGCAGGTATTGGCAAAGTTAAAAACTTTAAATTAAAAATACATCTGGACCCTAAGGCACAATTGGTGGCCCAACCTCTCCGTAGGGTACCCTTCAACATGAGAGATATTGAGAGTAAGCTGATCAAAGAACTTTTGGACAATGACATAATTGAGCCGGTCTCGGGGCCAACACCATGTGTGTCTCCATCTCATATTGTTAGAAAGAAAGATCCTGGACAATATAGATTAGTAGTGGACATGAGAAGAGCAAATGAGGCAGTGCTCAGAGAGAGAGTTCCACTTCCAACTTTTGAGGAGCTTTTAGCAGACCTAAATGGCTGCAAATACTTTTCTGTCTTAGACATAAAATGGGGATTCCATCAAGTTGAACTTGAGGAGAATTCAAGAATGGTTACAGTGTTCAGCTGTTCTCAAGGTCTATTCCGCTACAAAAGACTATTCTTTGGTATTCGATGTGCCCCAGAAATTTTCCAACGGATTGTGGCTCAGTTAATAACAGGGATAGATGGGGTAGCAAATTCCCAGGATGATATTATTATTGGAGGAAGAACCAGACAAGAACATGACGATAGGCTCGTGAAGGTGTTGAATAGACTACGTGAAAGTGGGGTAACTCTGAATCAAAAGAAATGTGAGTTTGGTGTTACAGAAATGACATTCTTAGGTCATCATTTGTCAGCTAAAGGCATACAGCCAACCCGTACTAGCCAAGGGGTCATCCAAGAGTTCAGAGCACCATCAAGTAAGGAAGAAGTCAGAAGTTTTCTAGGATTAGTAAATTTTTCAGCACGATTTATCCCAGATTTTAGCACTATTACTGAACCCCTGAGAGAGGTGATCAAAAAAAATTCAGATTTTAAGTGGAACCAAGAACAAGAGCAAGCATTTCAGCTATTAAAAGATTCAATTGTGACTGCACCAGCATTAGGATATTATGACAAGTTAGCAGAGACATTCCTAGTTACTGATGCTAGTCCAGTTGGTGTAGCGGCTGTTCTCGTTCAGCATCAGATCGAAAATAATATTAAACAACCTGTAGTAATTAAATATTGTAGTAGAGCATTAACTGAAACAGAAAAAAAATATTCACAGACTGAAAAAGAGGCTCTTGCGATCGTGTGGGCATGTGAACATCTATACATGTATTTAATGGGAAAGAAGTTCAATATAATTTCAGACCACAAACCATTGGAGGCTATTTATTCACAGAAATCAACTGCTCCTAGTGCCCGAATTCAAAGATGGATTTTGAGATTACAATCTTTTCAGTTTAATGTTATATACAAACCCGGCAAAAACAACATTGCAGACCCGTTATCCAGACTATTAGATACTGAAACATTGGTATCAAGTCCACAACAGGACATTGAAGATAGTGATCTAATAGCTAATATATGTGAAGACATAAGAGCGGTTACAGTAGACATGGTCAAAACAGAAACCTTAAAGGACTATCACCTGATGACATTGGCACAAGCAATCAAAGACGATAAGTGGTCTAAGGAACTTAAGAAGTATGAAATCATTAAGACAGAATTGTGGGAGATGGACGGAATCCTACTTAGAGGATCAAGACTAGTGCTACCTAAAAGTTTAGTAACCAAGATCTTAGAAATAGGACATGAAGGACACATTTCTGTACATGGCATGAAAGCCAAGCTCAGACGTAATGTTTGGTGGTTAAATATGGATAAGGATATAGAATACTGGGTGGATACTTGTGAAGGATGCAGACTGGTAAGGAAACAGACACCCCCGGAACCGATTACATCTACTGAATTACCATCTAAAGTGTGGGAGTTAGTTGCTATTGACTACCTTGGGCCACTGCCCTCAGGACACTATTTATTGCTAATCATAGACTATTACAGCAGATACTATGAAGTTGAAATACTAAAAGCACCAACTGCAGAAAATACAATAAAAACCCTTAAAGTTCTCATCGCCCGAGAGGGAGTGATGGACACTCTGATTTGTGATAATGGACCGGCCTTCAGAGATGAGGGTTTCCGAGAGTTCTTGAACAGTCATGGAATAGAACTCCGACACACCACCCCCTTATGGCCGCAGGCTAATGGTGAAGTGGAACGACAAAACAAAAGTGTATTAAGACGACTAAGAATCGCTCAGGGCTTAAATAGAGACTGGAAGGATGAACTCCTTACTTACCTTGCTGCATACCGCACCACTCCACATTCAACAACGGGGATTCCACCAGGTGAATTATTCAGGGGAAGAAAAATCCGTACTAAGCTACCAACAATTAAAAGTGAGCCCATGATGGATGAAGAAGTGAGAGACAGAGACAAGGTAAGGAAGCAATTGAGCAAGGAGTATGCTGACAAACGTAGACATGCAGAAGCATCAGAGTTAAATGTAGGAGACAAGGTGTTGGTTAGACAACCAAAACTCAATAAGTTAACTACACCCTTTTCTCCCAAAGAACATATAGTAACATGGAAAAAAGGAAACTCTGTAGTAGCAGAATCTGCAGACGGTAAGTCTGTGAGACGAAACTCTTCTCATTTCCAGCGAGTTCAAAGCAGAGATCTGACAAGGTTTGAGAAAGAAAGAGGTGAGTTACTGGACCAGACTTCACTTGAGACACAGGACTTGACATCTACTCCAGATTTGACATCTACTCCAGATTTGACATGTACACCGGATATGACTAATGAGAGATTTAAGAGACAAAGGGTTACACCCCTTAAATATAAGGATTTTGTCTTGGGATTGATTCTAGAGTGTATGAATATTTAAGGCAATAAAACACTTAATGATTTAATTGTTCACTGCAATTGGTAGTAAATATAATATTGGTTTTGTTAAATATTGTACTTAACTGTGTGGTCGTTGATTTTATGTGAACTTCATGATTGATAATTGTTTTGGTATTCCATGACCATTTGTGTACTTCAGCAATATTGCTATTAAAATTACTAATTGTATGTTGTTAGTGATAAAATATTCTTGTTATAAAATTTATGTCAAACACAATTATTAATGTAATCTGTATTGTCAGATGGTAGAAAATATTTAATTTTTGTTTATTAAGAAGGAAAGAGATTGTAGAGTTCTGAGTTTTGGAACGAGTATGAACAAAAGATAACAGTTCCTAAACGAAAGAACGCCACTCACTCACTATGTCACCGGGCACGCTATGAGCATTGCAAGATTAATTTTATTATTGTAAGAGTACAATAAAAGTGCAGATTCAATTCGTGTTGTGTTATTAATTTATTATAATGGCTATTGGCACCTCCGACAGTGACATTTTCCGCAAAAAATCTCCAAATTATGTACGAGTTGTATGAAATTGACCATCTTTCTACGGATAAAACTTATTAAGTTTATAGTTTTTTTGTTATTGAGATGTACGTGCAGAAAGATAGTGATTTTCTTACCATTGACACAAATTAAAGACTTTTTGTGGAAAATATCACTTATGTGGTTTTACCTTTAAACAGACGAAATATACTCGATTTAGATCCGAAAAAAATGTTATTTCCTATGTGTAAGTAGGTACCTACCTACCTAGTAAAACCTGAGAACTTAATATTGTTTTTTTATTTAAATAAAACAATCTTTTTAAAGGCCTTAAAACTTAGAATAAATGTTATTTAAAAAAATTGCCACGGAAACGGCTTTCCAAAATTACGTCACCTCAAAACGCGTGACGTCGTTAGTGACAATGTGGTTTTGCCACTTGCGAGAATTTTACGTATTCATTGGTTACTATACACATTCCGATTTCTATTCTCACTCCTCTGTTCATGCGGTCAGACTTATGAAAGCACTGCCTATTACCCGGCTTAACAAGCAACGGTTTCAGTTACATACAGCTCACTAGTGAGTACCCGGCTCGAGTGACGAATAGTTGACATAATAATAAATGATAATGAATAATGGCTCGCTACCCATAGCGGTAGCGACAACTGCGAAAGTGCGAACAGTGAATACCGCGTACACATTGGGATTCCGCAACTCACAGCGTACGTATACCGCGAATAACGCGTACATCTGGACAGGCCTTTTTGTGTAGCAAATACACTAATAAATAATACATTGTTGTATCTCCTGCATACAATTTCATCAAAAAACTTTGCAATGCTCGAACAAACCCTCTGATATTTAGATCTGTCTCATGTATTCTTAATTGTACTCAATATTCAGTTATTTAAATATCCGCATAAACATAAGCTAAATATTTGACTAATGGAATACCAAACGCCAGTGTATGTACATATTTTCATCACTAACAAGTATTTATTGTTGTTTGTTGTTTTAAACACGAACATTCTTGCTTGCTAGCAATGAATGAAACTACAATACAATTAACGAATATTGTTTGTTTTAGAAAATGATCATCTCGCACGCCACGACTTAATAATGAAGAAAGAATATCTACGGAATAATGGACTATAGACATTTTTGGTGAAGATAGAATTGTAATAGATATTATTAGAAAAAACACTCAAATCTATTTGGATGTAATATACAATACGGCAGACGAAAAATTCGTTCAATTTCATTTTTTTGGAACTGATATGGAGTTGTCAAATCAAATTAAGGAGGACGAAAGAGAACCAATACTGCCCTCCTTATCATAATTAACGTAATCAACTTTATTAGCGAAATTGAGTTATTACGTTTTTGCAATTAGCGAAACGAGATCTCCAACCCCTTATAAGCGTTTTTTTTTGTATCTTATTTAGTTTCAGTTTTATTGTTTTTAAGCGAAATCATCGTAATTCACATTTTTCAAAGCAGAATTTTGGCGCCAATATCTCCAAAATTACCAATATGCAAATGTGTTGGTTATGACAAGGAGGGCAGAATTAGCGATGCTCGACTTTGAAATTTACTAATACTAATAATTCGAATAGGCAAATCTAAGTCGAATCCGAGCACAATCATTATTGATACCGAATACCTCTCTTTCCATTAGGTCGGGTGTATGAATCGAATGATTATTATTTTGGAACAACTCGGAACCACACCATGTTGATATCAAAATACACCCTGTCACATTTACGGTATTTACCATATGTCAGAGAGGGCTAGGCAGAAATGCTGTATGGAATCTATGGATTAGTAATGAATGATCATTCATATTATTCGAATACGAAAATTAGTAGGTTACTAATTTGTCATTCGAATGACAAGATGAGTAATTAGTAACGAGTCGAATATCTAAATCATTCGCAATAGCGCATCGTTGGCAGAGTACTGATAAACCATAAATAAAATGTTACATAATCGCGTTCTGACAAATAAAAAGTTTTTTTTTTGCGGAGTATAGGATACATCACTAATACAAGGCGTGCTTGAAAACGTTTCTCATTGGCACGCCTACCTATTCATCGTTCCTATTATCACTTATTTTATTACCAATGTAAAAAAAAATACCGAATCCATGTACAAATTGGTGACATTTCATAGATCGGTACGTGAGTTGAATTATTTATGAATAATAAAATTGTTATTACAAGACAAAGAACGTTTTTTATTATTATTTAAAATAGGCTTACGTGTGTCCACAACCTCACTGAAATAGAAAACAACTGTGGATGAGGATGGCTGTTTAGCCTGTGTATGGTTGTTCTTGACCGCTAGTAGGGGAAGAAGGGTTCCAGCGTCAGATTCCAACCCTTTCCTTACCATATACGTGAGCCGTTGTGTTACGATTACGTTAAAAAGCGTCAGAGTATCGAAAAGGGCGCCAACGTAATGTAATTAAAATTTTTCGTTTACAGTTTAAAAATAATGTACAAGTATTAATTAAATTTTTATTGAATTGATATTCAATTCTTTTTTGTGAAATTACTCCACTAGTTTGTTATAATTATTAATACAAAGATCGAACACTCAGAAAAAATTCCTTCGATCCGGCGGATTCGAACCGACGTCTACTAGCAAACCTCAGCGTCTGGCATGGTATGCATACCATGCCAGACGCTAAACCAACTAAGCCACGGAACGAACCAACGGACCTCACGAATTTTTCTATGTGCTTCTGTCGTGTCTTTGTACTTGGTCTTCCAACGATATACAAGTAGTTCGAAAATGTGTGTCATCCATTTATTCCAACTAGTGAAGGTGTTGTAGGGAAGAGTGGAAAAAAATCCACTTGTCTCCACCAGAGGAACAGCTAGTAGGTACTTGATACCACGGGACTGACTGGCTACAAAGACACTCGCTAGACACAAAAATTCAAAATTAGACCGACTTACTTTTGGAGAAAACACGACGAGGGCAGTCCTGACTAAACCTCTGAAGAAAGCAGACAAAACTTCCCGATCTACAATTGTACAGAGACCGTACAGTCGCATTACATCAATCTCACAAATGCCAAGTTTTCAACTTTTTACGAAAGAACAAAGAAACAACTTTTGGTCCTACCCGTAGGAACTTAAGGACATATTATATTATGTCCTCGTGAGAGCACCTAGTAGGAGCATGAGGAAACAGTGCAAAACATTTAGTTAAGTTTTTATTTTATAACATTGCATCACCAAATGACCAAAATGCCTTGATTTATTTTTATTTATGACTAACTGTGTCTGTGAGTTCATAGCCGCAAATATATACTACCTCCGTACATCCCTCATAAACTAGGTGGCCAAATAACATGCTATAAAGAGAAAATATTATCTTCATGAAATTCGCGACATAACAATATTATTCTTTTGAATATATTACTCCTAATAAGTACACCAAAAGCTAAGTTTACAATTTATAATTACAATAAAAAATGTTAGGTATTGTGTCATCATGAAATATAAAACTACATTCTTATATAATTTTAAAACGGCATAACGACTAAATCTAGTTTTTTTGCGACTATAACCAACTCATCATCATCAACCGATTTATAGGTTCTACTGCTGGACGAGTCTCCTCTCAGACGAGGGATTAGGCAATAGCCCGCCACACTGGCCCAATACGGGTTGGGGACCTCCCACGTTTTGCGAGTGTTGTGAACCTTCTTCGACGAAGTTTTTCTTCACCGAAAAGCTCATGGTAAATTTCAAATTCAATGGTAAATTGTTTTAGATAAAATATTTAAAAACAACCGACTCGAACCGACTAAGTGGTGACTTTTTACCTGACTAGTCAAATTTCAAAAACGAATATGATCACGCTGTAATAAGGGACGTAAATGTACTGGTCAAAAATGTCTAGAGATCAAAGGCATATGAGAATTCATACACAAACCTTTGATGTGTGTATTAGAAGTACATACTCAGTTTGATTATTATTATTCCCCCTGATGGTAGTCACTATTATAAGCTTGGGTCTTGGTTCAGTTTTCAAAAAATCCTTGAACGCGTTAAGCCGCATACAATAACGATCCTAAGGCCGAAAGTATCAAGCTTGATGTGCTCTTGACAGTACAATCAGTGTAAATAACATGCAGTGGGACATCGCCCTTAAAGAACCGTAAGTTCCCAAACTTTTTGACTCACCGCCCACTAAGGCAAGATAAAAAATTATATATATGTAGGTATGGTCTAGACATTACGTCATACCGCAGGCTTATTGGAGGAGCAGCTCCAGAGGTGGTTTTCATCGAATGGGTTGCTGCTGAATATCACTAAATCCAACATCATGGTTTTCTCGGGTCGAGGTCTCACAGTTCTTCCGTGTGTAGCAAGCAATCCGATGCCGATATGCAATGAGAGTAGGTTCCTTGGCTTCACTCTGGACTCGAACCTTAACTGGAAGTGCCATGTTGACAGACTGTGTGATAGACTTCATTTGGTACTGTAAATGTTTCTGGCATCCCACTTCGCCGTACCGGTCATTTGAGAACAGTCCCTCGACGCATGGCACTTGCAGAGAAAAACCCGCGTGTCATCGGACCTACTTACTATGAGCGTTTAGTCGCTACTCTCGGACTTGAAACATTTAGGCGCCGGCTGAAAGACCTTTTCTTGAAAAATCCTATATACTCTGTAAAAGAATTTTTGGACTTTAAATTGTAACGAATTCAGTATTTTCTATTTTATTCTAATTTTTACCGCATTAACATACTCTTGTATAATTGTTATCAACTTATGACGATCCTTGATGGAGAATGATATTTGATATGTAATTTAATGACAACAATATTATATAATGAATTTGTTAATTTTCTAATTATTGTGTGCTTTTCTTATAATTTTCCTTTTTGTCTGACGATCTCAATATATGTATATATTATTTGAGAAATAAATGAATCTGAATCTGAATATTTAGTCTATTGGAGTGGGTTCTGCTACTGTGTCCATTGGCAATAATAAAAAAAGACGTTGATGTTGGGCTTTCTCACAAGCCGTTTTATAGTAAGGGCAGAAGTTGTAGTGTGTATAGTATACAAGGAATATAATTTAAAAAATATTTCCCGTAAATAGATCTTCCACATGCGTCAATTCAAAGCTTGGTCTGAAAATAATAATAAGCCTTTAATTTGCTACTTAGTTTAAGTATTGTATCGAATCCTCTGCCCCTCCCTCGCCCCACACACTCCGCACGATTGCTCTGTCTAGACGTGTCCGTTGGACGACTTTAAAAATATTTGTTAAACTTAGGTACAACACTATAGAGCTACATTCGATTCTAAAAGTCTACAATCTTTGTCGTCATGGTCAGCCGGTTTGCGATATTATAGATTACTTTATTTTTATTTACAATGTCGTTAACGCATTATACAAAAAAATATCTACTTACGTAAAAAACATACAAGCGCAGATTAAAATGAAAACCCATATCAATTTGATGATGTCAATGTCGAATACTGCAACGAGAAATACAGACGACATTGATGTTCACGTGATACGGGCGTGATTCGGAATTCCGCATTAGTACGATAACATAATTATGACGATAACAATGATACTAGGTAGTAATGAACAAAAGAAGAAACATGACTGGAATTTACCGTGACAAATTTTAGAGATGAATAAAAAGTTCACGGCCAGCAGCACATTTAGTTTTTTTTGTTACCTACTTTAAACAAGACTTGTTTTGTTTCAATGATAATACTCAAACCTAGAGAAAATAACAGCAAATCTAGTCAACTATTTAGATACAGAAAGGAGACAACGAATAACAAAAAAAACATGACAATTTATTATAAGTATGTGACACTACAACGATAAGAACGAATACATTTATATACATATAACAAACTTGTGCTAATTTTATTGTTTCCAGAATCGATGTGATCATTAGTTAATTAGAAACGACATAGTCATAGCACGTCATTGACAAAGACAATAATAATAATAACGCACACACTCAACGTAGCCCCGCACTAGGGAAATCCTGTGTCGCGGGTGCCATGGACACACACATAGACAACCACAAATTACATCCAAAGTCACGAGAGCTATAAATGTAGGCCCTACAAATATTTCTCCCTGTCCGGGAATCGAACCTGGGACCTCTGCGTGGCAGTCCGGCATGGTAACCGTTCAGCCACGGAGGCACAAAGCAGTAAATTAGTAATATGTAATTTACATAACTAGTAACAGATAAAGGAACATTTTGAAAACATAACTTTCTTATGTTATATAGGTAGCGTATCTTCTGAAGCTTGTTTACAAGAAATACATGCCAATAAAGATGATATTATCTAACTACTTGCCTACAACCCTACAACTAATAAAATGAAGGAACACGGATGCTTAGTAAACAAGGGCCAAAGTTAACCTTCATAACAGCTCATGCGTATAAAGTCGTAATTGTTGTTTAGCATTATATATTTTTCTGTTCACCATCTCCAACCGTAACAAACCTTGAAGGCTTTATTTCAACCCAGGTTAACCATTTATGGTTCTTCGGGCAACCTATAGGTACGTGTAGCTGTTATATATCCCGATATATGTAAGTTTGTATATGAAGATTATACATACAATAAACGACTTTCTAGAACAAGTACATAAGTATACTTGGTTACATACGAGCGTTATTTCTTTCTGTACCGAAAAAGAATAATTGCCAGACGGCACGACAAGGTCGATCACATCGAATTCATTCGATTTAGTTAGAGAGCAGCTGCTGCTAGTGAAGTGAACTTGTTTAGGCTACGTTTACACTAGACGCGAACTTGTTTTGTGGCAAGTTGTTCGATACAGAAGGCCAATGTTACTCTACAGACAAATATTACTCTGATTCTCATATGGGTCCTACATCAGTTCGTCCCTGTAGAACCACTTGAATTACCTTGACAAGAGAAATCTTAGATATACAGCTACACCTCGAAACACCACAGTATTTATTTATCAGGAAACATAATAATATTAAATATTTAATTTACATTACATTGTATGTACTCAAGACTGTAGACATCGAGTATATAACCAGAAATAGAGACGAAATGTCATTTAATTGTTTGAAAACTATGCAGTCAAATCATTACTGTGACAACTGCGCTCCGATTGGCTAGCCCGAGTTCGAAACAATTGACGGGTGTCGTCGATGGGCATGTATTCAATGTTCAAAATTACATATTTAATATTTAATTACCGATGAAATGTGATTCCGTTTGCCTTGTAATTAGATGTTTTGCTGTTATTCCCACACCACCGAATAGAACAGCACGGCATTGTTAGAGATATTATCTTTATTACAATAAATACAGAATATTTTTTGGAATATACGGAGACGTACACACAGGTCAGTAGTGGGCCTGTCTATATTCCAGTACAAACGAGAGTTGATATTTATAAGAGCTGTATCGCTAATGTGTTACCAGATTATATGGCCCTTATTTCATCTCTATTTCTGGTTATATACTCGATGACTTTAGATGATCACAGTGTTTAACAAAACTCTTTATTAGAACCGTAAACAACTCAATTCACCAAAACATAATATACTAATATGCGAAGTGCTTATATTATAAATAATCTGAGGCGAAGTGTAAATGAACCTTTAGTCGGCCATGGCATGACGTCACAATAGCCCACTGCTATGCGCAATACCGCCATCTTGTTTGCGTCATTTAATCCACAATCAAAATATTTTGACCCTTATTAACATCTACTCGAAAGGAAAAAATTCCATGCAGCAAGAGATAACGTCTGACTCAACGTTTCTCTAAACTAAACAATAAACTAGTCACCACATTGTTCAGCTACGTATAATTGGAAAATATTATTAAGAATCAATATTATTGAATGCCGTTTTCTTTTGCCACGCAAAACAGTGGTGTGAGCTTCGATGTAAACAACACATTGTTCGCTACATGCCTATTCTAGATTCTTCGTTGGAGCGGACACTGTTTTACTTTCATGTCTCACTTTTAAAACGATAAAACAATTTCATAACCTCTTTAAGTTTGTGCCCTTTTTAAATGTAATAATAAGCGAATCCGTAAGATAATTACGTGGTTGAGGCTTTCCAAGAACCCTAATTCCCACGTTCAACCCTCGTGGTTTTTTGTTAGTATTCAATAGAAGGAAATCTCTCCCTTGTATGCCAGACCCTCGGTTATTTTACCTGGCCAAGATTCACATATTATTTCTCATTCTGTGTATTTATAACTTATTCTTTTGTCGTTACTTTGTTACAAACGTTTTTTGCGGTAACGTAACTTTTGTTCTTCCTTTTCATAAAAGTTTGGCTTGCAAACTAATTTCTTGAAATACCGAGGTAAAAATATTTTGAAAACTATTAAATCAGTCAGTAGGTAAAGTACCCACGTACGTACCCACTAACATAATAGTAATAGTTGCAATCGCAATGTTTAGAAATCGTGTGGGAATGGATTTTAGCTTAAAATGTTTCAACTTGCATAGAAAAATTGACACAGACATTGACGTAGTATACATTTAGGTTGTATTATTACTTAGAGCTTAGAACAAGAATAAATTCTAAAAAATCAATAGACTACCTCGGGGGCACACCTCGAGGGGAGTCTCCTTCCTCCCTGTCCCGACTCATACCCCGCCCCCCTGCCTATTGGACTTGAGCCAAACTGCGTTCGAAGACATCACATTAATTATTAAAGAAGAATTAAATGGTAATGTGGTACTGACTGCTACAATTTTAAGTATGGATTCGAAATTTCCATTACAAGTGTAGGTTCTTTTTACTAAGATTTTCTATAAATGATATAGGCTTTGAACATAGATTTAGTATATAGCTACCCATAAATCTATGGCTTTGAACGATTTCGAAATAATTACTATTTTTTGTCATTCATTATACAACGATAACGACGTCCGTGTAAGTAGTTGTAGTTTTTTCCAAAGCCAAATATTGCGTCTAGAACAAAAACCTTAGTAAATTCCTAATTAATACTATAAATGCGAAACGAACTTCGTCAGTTTTCGTTTTGACTCCTAAACCGTTAAACCAATATTCATGAATTTTGGTAGGTGTAAAGGTAGATGGAACTCAGGAGAAGGACATAAGCTACAGATTTTTATCAGATAGATTTTTATTTTATATCAGTAGGTTTTGTCACAAAAATAAATCTTAAAAGAGGTGAAATAGGGGTGAAAGTATGTATGAAGAACCAATAAAACTATGAAAATTAGTATCGTACATATAGGTTACTCGAAGTACAGTCCAGAGCACATCTAGCTTGACACTTTGTACTTTGAACCGTTCTTATAGTAAGCGGCATAGAGTTGGATTTAAGTCTTAAGCGTCAAGCTTGACGTACTCTTGACCCTGTATTTATTCCACGCAGACGAAGTCGCGGGCACCCGCTATTTACCCGCAACATATTTTGAATTCTAAAACATTATTATCAAAAAGTTCATTATGCATATATTATTAAATTATTATCAACAAAAAGTTTTTGTTTAATGCTTTATTTGCGAACTTTTTCAATCATACACTTACGAAAAATGAAAAAAAAAAGATCAGAATTCCAATACGTAAATTTAAATTTTATCGATCAAATGACTTAGACAACATTATTTTGGTAAAGTGCTTAGTTCTTTGTTTTTCTTGATTGCAGTAATAGGTATAATAATATCATAGCTTGGTTGGGTTGAAATTACTGAGTTTGATTCAACGAATCAAGAAAATTATACATGTGGAACATACTAACCTTGCTAAAATAATCAAAAAGGATTAAAATTTGATGGTAATTATATTATGGAAGTAAAACTATTCAGTAAGTAAATACAGCTTGTGACAGATCGGGTTTTGGAACGCTCCTTTGATATTGATTGATCGTGGGTTACGTGGGCTCCATCGCCCCGTGCCCCTCCGTGAGGTGTGCCGCCATTTTGAAGCAACTGCGCAGCAGCGAGTCGAGTGAGGCCCCGGACGATATAAAAGGCAACCGTGACGTCAGCGCCCTCATTATTGGCTTTCGGCGTGGTGCGGTGTAGACGTGTTGTGTCGTGAAGTGTTGCAGTTCTACAAAGACTTGCCTGGTGGATTCAGGTGTGTAGTGTCACCACAATATTTTGCCCGCTTCTCAAACCATGGGCTACAGTTCAAACGAAAAGTCTGTCGTTGACTTTTGTGAAAGCAAATCCGAATCCTTATCTAACTGGGTTCGTCAAGTTAAAAATAAATCTATGAGTGCAAAGACGAAGAGAAAGCGTGATTTGCGAGTAATCGCCATCTTGAGTAACTCTCTATCCCGAGCTGAGAGTGAACTCGTTATGAAACAAAGAGAACGTGCCAGAAAGTGGGCTCAGATGCAAGCGAGCCTTGGACTGAGTAATATTGAAGAAGAAATGGTCAAACAACAGCGAGAGAAAATCGATAATATATGGAAGAATGATCTCAGCGGTCTAGATAGCTTTTTCAAAGAATTAGACAGTGTCAAGCCTGTACCAAAGTAACGAAGCCTAGGTAATGTAAAAATCTCTGGATCTGTGATATATGTAGGGTGTTTTTCTAAATTACAGTCCCATTGCGTTTCGCGTGGGTCTGCATCCGCCGGCCGCCATCTTGGTTGCCCGGGCGGGCGCGGTCGCAGGCAGCTAGCCACAATATGGGTTTGTAACGGTATCACGCATTTATTTATTTAGTCAGTTGTTGTACATATATAGGTATTAGTTTAATTTTTTCAATTTATCTCTAATGCATAAATTGGAATTTGATTTTATTCATATTGAATAAGAAAATTTGTAACTTATATTTAAGTACCTATGAAAAATAAAAACGAATTTTGGAAACAAATGGTGTCTCTCTGGATTTATTTTATTTTTTGCTGTGATTTCACCCACATGTGTTATTCCATGACATCATCCACTTCGAGGAGAACGTGACTGAAGGCGAAGCTGCGCGACTGTATGAGTCAGCAGTTGGCGGCCAGCGGCTGTTCCTGTTCCAATGCTGCCTAACGCACTTCGTCACACTGTGCTGCTGATAGCAACGCCGCAGTAAACGGCACGGAACTACGTAACACTCGCTCGAGTCCCGGTTTGTCAGCCCACCTAGGTAAACGTTAGGAGATTGCGCCATAATTTCATCATGTAGATAGCTGTATATCGGCCCGCACGCGGGCCTTGCCTGTAAAGTGTCTTAGATCTCTCTCAGAACCTGACCGCTTCGAGGGGCTCCATGATAACTCCCGGAGCTGGTTTCCACTGCTATGAAAGCTGCGGTCGCAATCACAAGCATCGACGCACTCGTCCAGAACATTCTATATAACTCAAAAAATGTAATTAAAGGAAATAAAAATGACTTAGGAATTACAATGGTGAGTCACACCTGTTTACAAAGTGTCTTGAGTAGTCTATGAGACTAAAGGTTTGTGAAGGTGATGAGTCATTCACTTGATTTGTAATGTGCCTATAAATGCCCGAGGGCATTATTTGTTATGCACCATTCCATCCGAACAGGCACTTAGCGGAAGACACGGCCGCGAGTGCGCAGCGGCGCTACATTGCGTTCACCTGTTAACAGGTGGAAGTTATTCCATGACCCCTACCGCCACAACGTACCTACCTCGTACGGCGCAGCTCGTCATCCTCCTTTCACTTTTAGGTAAAACGAAAACGTCGTGTATATTTTCCATAACACATTTTAGTGCTTGCATGTTGACTACCTACTTAATTGCGTACAATTCTATTTCTGTTAAGATCACAAGCTTTTTTCTCGAATATAAGTTATTTAGTTTAGTGGTCTGTAGTCAAAATTACTCAAGACTAATTGAACCGATTTGGAACGACTGTTTGGCTTGTGTGTTTAATCTAAACTTCTCAGTGTGGTTTACGTGATGCTTGACGAGCAAGTTGAAAAGGAAGGTTAAAACGCAAAGCAGCTACCTTGACGCCAGGTCGCGAGCCGTATCAAGATATTGCGTAGGTAACAATGAACACATTTACTAAGTCTACAATGAAATGAAATGTATAACGCAACAAGAGTGGGCTGATAGAAATCCGGGACAATCTATAAACAAGAAAATATCTTGAACATGCCAAAGCACCTGTAGTAACTCTGAACGGTCTGTAACGAAATATGAAAATGAAATTAGGAAGATGTGGATCTATTTAATGCAATGGTGAGTTGAGTTGCTGGAATCATGTATTTAGATTATTTCTTAAGTAATTTCTGTACCTCTTGCACTACGTCACTAACTTAAGTCTTGTTTTCTCTTATATTTTTTTCCTAGTAGTTTGGTGGTACTTGGAAATGTTTTTTAAACTATATCTGTTAAAGCCTATACATCAAATAGTCCAACATGGTGAGGACAATTATTGATTGATATGCAAACTTCACAGCTATCGACTGGACTGGGGCTAGTGGCTGTCGTGAACAAGATTCACGTGAGGATAAACGAAAGGAGGTGTAGTCCTTCCCGGCTGAAGGCTTACCCCGCGGCGCGCCTCGGGTGACCCGGGGCCAACTAACACGCACCACGCCCCAGTTAATAACCAGTACACCAACAACACAGATAAGTCCGAAACCTGTATTGGACATAATTTTAGGCCAATATTATGATTATAACTTATTATAGTACGAAAATTAGTTATAGAAATGAACATCATCTGATGTAATGTTGGAATGTTAAACTGAAGGTCTGTGTCGAGTGGAACGTTTTGGGTGTAGGTAAGTGGAATTTTCCATAACGCTACATCAACTGCCGAGTACGATAACGTGGAAATTCCAGCTTAAGATGCGGATTCTACGTGGAATGCGGTGTCAATAAACTAATTAAGTAAAACAGGCGGTGTACACAGTAGCAGAACAACTAATACCATAAAATGCCTTGACTTCTGCACAGCGCTTTCAGATTGATAACAAATTACATCTGAGGTTGATTCATTTTATACAGACAAAGAAACGACGAGCAAAATCTCACTTGGTGAGTAACACTAACTTTTCACTTACTGAAATATCCATTCGGTATTAGGGCCTGCTAATAGTCGAATCTTTCTGTCTTTTATTTTTCAGGTTTATTTACATTTAAATGAGAAATATTTACTCAATTAGTTCATAACAATTATTCAGATGGAGATAGAATAGTTCATAGAGAATCATCAAAAACACATTAAGAGTATAATAAGATCCAAAATCTTGCTGACTATATGAATAAACTAAACTAAATAAACTGTAAAATAGTGACTGGCAATATTGAGGTGCATAATGATATCATTAGAGGTGCAAAAGTAGGAAAACAGTAGCATTTATATTAAGGACAGTATGTACAAAAGTACTGATTTATGTTCAAGTTGAAGGTACTGTACCTAACTAGGAATTCTTTTCAGGACGCAATGATGAAATATTTAAGGCTAACAAATTTTAAAGGATTTATTTATTATACTTAACCTGTATTAGAACAAAACTATTTTGCTATAACATTTTAATGGCTTATTGACACAGCTTTTGTCGTAATGGCGAGTAAAATCGCCTTTGTTTTATTATGAGTCTCTTCAGGTATAACGAGATGGTGTGTTGGAATAAACCTTTTATAAATTATTATCAAACAATAACCGAGCAAACTTGAGGAATATTTACCCAACGAAGGGTACCAAGTTATAAATAACACTAAGGATAACCTAAAATAAAAGGACCATAGCCAATTTCATTACTTGGAGCAATTCGACACCTGCTATCGGACGAAATTTTCGTTTTATTCATCTAGGTCATTCAGCAATAATAATACATTATATACATAGAGGACGAGGACAATTTTAGGACCATGACCTTAAAATGTGCACAGCTATAAACTGGTTTTTTTTTCGGAACGCTCAATGTGGAACACTATTACAAATATTTGGATTGGACGTATGTTTAGTAATAACTCTATATAATGTTTTTTTCTGGCAAAGTTTTAGAAAACTAATAGCAATAAAGCTTACTTGATACTTTAGAAAAGGTATGGCTATGTTTAGAATATTTGCCATTTGCTGCTTGTTCTGTTTTTACACAGCTAAAGATCCGGTTAACTTTGAGGTAATATGCATATATGTATGGTTCCTAACTGGCGTCATGACGGAAAGCTGTAAAATTGTAAAAGGCACACCATGCAGCATTGTTCACCTCTGCTTCTGGTTTTAGGTACACTTTTTAAAATTTAATTTCATGAAGTTATAATTGGAAACGGAAACCCTATGACCATGATTCTTCAAACATGGCATTAATTACACCCTGTCTCGGGCCACGGGGATTATTTTCGATCGTCCTTTTATCATTTTCTGTTCAGCTAGATGTGGATCTGATGATGATGCGGATTGCCCTTGCTGTTCCTGAAATAAGTACCAACAACGTGACTTGAAACGACTTACTTTATACAATCAAAATACAGCAAATGTTCTCAACTGGCACTATAATCCAAAATAATGTGCATTCGATTTGTTTGGGATTTGTTTAGCTATAGTCCTTCCGGATGCTACAGCGAAGACCGTGACTTGTCTTTGAAGCTTTCGATAAAATTGAAGAAAATTGACCTTCATGGAAAGCATAGAACGTGAGCATATCAAATGGTATATATGGATTTTTTTCTTGCTTGAATAAGGAAACGCTATCATGGAAACGCCAATTGACTCAAATAGCAGAGTAACTCCTTACTTTTTGGAAGTGCCGTTTGTTTTGTTTTGTACAGTTGGAACTAGTTGGCTGCGTGGTAATCTTCGACGAGTGTATTAAGCACCCATTGAAGTTTGCCTTCTGCAGAGCTAAGACTGAACACCCAAGTTGAATACTGGTAAATTCTATGCCATTGTTTCTTGTAGCTACCTAACCGAATTACAGATAAAACCTGCAGTAGTTGAATATATAGAAAACACGTACCGCGAGGTTTCTAACTTTGTCGCGCGGTGGTTTGTTTTTGTTTGACAGTGGTTTACGGAGCTTAGTGTAGACTTCGAGACTATCTCAAGTGGAAGGGTGTCTTCACTACGACGTGGAAGATTTTGTGATGAACCTGACAAACTGGTATGATCTCTAAATTGTTTTGTCTGTACGTCTCAGCAACGTATTAGAAAATTATAAAAATACAGCGTGTTCCAAAAATCAATCGGGAAGTTTCATCATAACTCAAAATATTGGAAAAACTTGAACTTAAGGGTTGAATAGGACCCTTAGCTCCCTCTAATCTTTTAGAAGCGCCGTTTTGTTTGTTTTGCACAGCTTGAAGGGTGCTACTAGACGAATATTGAGCTGCCTTCGACTTCACCAGCTGCACAACTCAATTTGAAAACACCTGAGTTACATAGTGGTAAATCATAACATTTTTTCTTGTAGCTACTTAACTACATTGTAGATAAATGATGCAATTCTTGAAAAATCGGAATGTAGTAAAATGAGAGGTATGACGCCTGAAGGTTCCTAACAATGTTCTGTGGTGGTGTTTTTTTGTTAACAGTTCCTGATTGTATCTTGAAAGCAGAAGCATGACAGCATAAGCAGTAAGACTCAAATGTCCACAGAAGATGTAATTTTATCTGAAATAAATGTTTGCATTTCTCCAAAAATAATGGAAAATGGAAAATCTGCTAGTTCCCAGAAATCTAAAAAGTGGTCTCCTGTTTCTTACAAACAGAAAATCGGGGTTAAATGACCCTTGGATCCCTGTAATTTTTGGATTTGCCTTTTTTTATTTTATACAGCTTGAAGTGCCTGGCTACATGGTGCTACAAGATATTTATATAGCTGCCATTATAAGCTACTTGCTGAGCAACTAAAACGGGTGACGACTCAAATTCAATACTGGTAAAATTTTACCATTTTTCTTGTTGCTAAATTGTACATAAATTCTATAAAAGTTTGAAACTTGAATGTATAGAAGACGTTTACAGGTATCGTACTTTTAAGGCTCTTAACGTTGTTTGTGGTTGTTTTATTTTGTTTGACAGTGGCTTGTGGAGCATGGCCTAGTGAACTACAAAACTTTCAGTTGAATTGGACGTATAAATAATTAGTGCTAAACCTATATTTCCAAAATGTTTTGTCTGTATGTCTATACTGGCAAGTAGACAATTTTTGCATGTTGCCAGAAACCACAGAAAGTTAATAACTGGAAGCATTTAGCATTATGTTATCTCCCTTTATTTTGGAAGCGCCGTTTATTTTGTTCAGCTTATAATGGTTGACTGCTTGGTGCTACTAGACTGATATTGACCTGCCTATGACTTTCATCTACTGCACAACTATTTAAGGAAAAACAAGTGTTTATGGTAAAATCTGACTACCTTTTCTCTTGTAGCTATCTAAATTTTAGATAATACTGCAATAGTTTTATGAATGCAAATGCACAGAGGTACACGCCTCTTAAGGCTCCTAATGATGTCGTGTGGTGGTGATTTTTGTTTGACAGTTCCTGACTTTATCTCGAAGTGGAATATGTTTACAATACTTCGTACAAAATGGCAACAAATTTGTGCAAATGGATATATCTTCAAAATGTTTCGCACATTTTATAACAACAATTCAAACCGTGTGTAGAAAGAAATCAAATGACAGAGCGATAACACTTCAGAAACGATTAATAGTGGTAAAACAGATGATCATTTATTGTGCGCTTAACCAAAATGTTGGTCGGGGTTTTATTATTTCACTATAGGCCCTGACCTAGAAAAGTAAGGAACCGTGCTTGAGTGCAAATTCGGGCTGCGATCTATACTATGCTAACATCAGAATGGATCCCAAGCTTGCGGTATGATAGCCTACGTCTTTTTGGTAACGATGAATTTTATATACTAACAAATTTGATAATTTTTCCTTGTACATAACGATTGCCTGTTCTCTTTGTTACTTTGTTCAGCTAGATAATCTTCCTAATGGTTGGTTGTAGCTGCCACTAAGACACAGTACTACATAGAAAACGACCCGTCGGAATGAATGATATTCCGTTTGTAACGTAAAGAAATTGATGATCATGTGACTAAGGAGCAATGTGAAGTGCAGTGTTACAGTTGGGGTAGTGTATGTGTCTTAAATGCATTTTATATGGATAAAATTAATGCAACCTCTAGTATTCCTCATCGATTTTAGTGAATTTTCATTGTGTTAATGTTTATATGGTGGTAAAGTTTGGTTTTTGTTTTCATTAACTTTTATAATGTGGATGTGAAATCATTCTTCAACCCATTCTTTTTCGTATGTTGTTCTGTTCAAATTTAGGTCGTGGCTGTTCAAACCGAGTGAGTCAAAAAGTTTGATGGCAAACAAAAGTGCACGCAATAAAGAAAACGTTATAAACAAACAAATTAAATTACACTCAACACATACATTCGAAAAACATGATAGTACGGGTTGAAAAGGTAACAAATAAACGTATGCATGGTAGGTGTTTTGTGGTTTAGTATTAAACATAATGGACTTTTATTAAAAATTGCTCGTAATGAGTACTTAAAACAAAATTGCTTGCTTCTGTCTGTTTAATACTTACTGTGTAAAAAAATAATGGCCAATTAGTGTGGTTAATTTAACTAGCTTATAGTTAATGTACCGTATACGTGCGTTAACATATCTAATGTATTAGAATTTATTTAGTGCTGATTGATGAACATACGTTGTATAAACGGGTAGTTAGATCCTACGAATAGCTTTGGTGGATTTGATACAAAATTTGGTAACCAAAATGGGTCTGTGTTAACGCTAACACATTTGCAATAGTTGTGCTCTGTGTCTGTTATAGGTGCGAGTCAGCACGTGTGCATTGACCAATAATCTTAGATCACTGTCGCGAGACGATGCCCTTGCTAATGTGATTGGAAGACTAATTTCATTGCGTATCGACGTTAAACAAAGAGATGGTAAAGGCTCAATCGATAATAGATGTAACAGTACATTTTATAAGATGCGATTAAATAGCAAGAGCAGCCTATCTGCTCTAATATTAACCCTAATTAGTTTTTGTTTTTATTATGTTTAGCTAGATCTGTATCGTTGACGGATGTGTACTAAATCCATCGTTTATGGGGCAACCAAGATCTCTGCTGCTGTCACTCAGCACATTTAATTAACCTCTGCTACTCACGCACGGTGTGTTAACTGGTAGTCCACCGCTGCGTTCTTTAACCACGTTGTGACTAGAACTGCCGTCGACTGGCTATTTAGCCACGGTGTGTTACGACACTCCAGCCGCTGCGCTCTTTGCCACGGTGTGTTAGCCTGCTCTGCCCCAGCGCCCCAAAACCCCGGGTGAGAAGAAGCCGTCGCTGCCTTGTCACGGTTTGATGAGACTTCCTCTCCGCTGCCCTTATCAGCCAAGGGCGAAAGTTATCCGTATTCCGGATTCTTCACGCAGTTACCTCGTCTCAGCGCAACTACCTATAGGTACAAACTTTATTCAAAACAGAAATATTACTAAAGAGCATTACTGCTCTTTTACTAACCCTAAACTTTCGTGTCTGTTTTGGAATGTTTAGCTAGGATTGCATCGTCTACAAGAATTTGCAGTATGTCTAACTATCAATACACTGCTGCACCTACTTTTTTACGGAATGACGAAAACTACTGGCGCTGCTCTTTTTAGCCACGACATGTGGAGGCACCCCAATTGCAGCGCAATTTAGTCACGGTTTGAGCTCCGTGTCGGGCAACCCGCGCTGCTATTTTGCCCTAGTGTATCGGTTTAGTCGCGTTGCTGCCCTGCCAGAGCGTTCCGGTATGTACGCGCTGATGCCCTGTCACAGCGTACTGGTCTACTCGCGCTGCAGCCAAGTCCCAGCGTATCGGCCTACTCTCGCTGCTGCCCTGTCACATCGTGCCGGTCTACTCGCTGCTGCCGTGTCACAGCGTGCCGGCCTACTCGCTGCTGCCGTGCCACAGCGTGCCGGTCTACTCGCGCTGCTGCCCTGTCACATCGTACCGATCTATTCGCGTTACTGCCCGGCCGCTGCGTGCCGATCTATTCGCGTTGCTGCCCGGCCGCTGCATGTCGGTTTACACGCACTGCTGCCCAGCCACAGCGTGCCGGTCTACTCGCGCTGCTGCCCTGCCATAGTGTGCCGATCTACTCACGCTGCTGCCCTGCCACAGCGTGCCGGTCTACTCACGCTGCTGCCCTACCACAGCGTGCCGGTCTACTCACGCTGCTGCCCAGCCACAGCGTGCCGGTCTACTTGCGCTGCTGCCCAACCACAGCGTGCCGGTCTACTTGCGCTGCTGCCCTGTCACAGCGTGCTGGTCTACTCGCGTTACTACCCTACCACACCGTGCCGGTTTGCTCGCGCTGCTGCTCTGTCACAGCGTGCCGATTTATTCGTGTTGCTGCCCGGCTGCTGCGTGCCGGTCTATTCGTGTTGCTGCCCGGCCGCTTCGTGTCGGTTTACACGCGCTGCTGCCCAGCCACAGCGTGCCAGTCTACTCGCGCTGCTGCCCTGCCACAGCGTGCCGGTCTACTCGCGCTACTGCCCTGTCACAGCGTGCCGGTTTACTCTTGCTGCTGCCCGGCCGCTGCGTGTCGGTTTACACGCGCTGCTACCCAGCTACAGCGGGCCGGTCTACTCGCGCTGCTGCCCGGTCTACTCGCGCAGCTGCCTGGTCTACTTGCGCTGCTGCCCGGTCTACTCGCGCTGCTGCCCGGGCTGCCCGGCCGCTGCGTGCCGGTTTATTCGTGTTGCTGCCCGGTTGGTTTACACGCACTGCTGCCCAACCACAGCGTGCCGGTCTACTCGCGCTGCTGCCCTGCCACAGCGTGCCGGTTTACTCGTGCTGTTGCCCGGACGCTGCGTGTCGGTTTACACGCGTTGCTGCCCAGCCACAGCGGGCCGGTCTACTCGCACTGCTGCCCAGTCTCAGCGTGCCGGTCTACTCGCGCTGCTACCCTGCCACATCGTGCCGGTGTACTCGCGCTGCTGCCCTGCCACAGCGCTCCGGTCTACTCGCGCTACTGCCCCGTCATGGCACAGCGTGTCTCGGTACGTTCACGCTTCTGGCCACAACGCGGCGGTACACTCGCGTCTGCTGCACTGTTACAACGCGTTAGTTCAATCGCGCCTGCCGCATTGTTTCAACGCGCCGGTCCGCTGGCACCTGTTGCTCTCGGTCGGTCAGTGTCTCTCGGTCGTCACAGCGTGCCGGTCCCATAGCGTTGCTGCGCTGTCACAGCGTTCCGGTTTATTCGTGTTGGGGCCCTGTCACAGCGTGCTGGATTGTACACGCTGCTGCCCTGCCACAGCGTGTCGGATTACTCGCGCTGCTGCCCTGCCACAGCGTATCGGACTTCTCGCGCTGCTGCCCTGTCACAGCGTGCCGGTCTACTAGCGTTGCAGCATCGCCACAGCGTGCTGGTCAACTTACGCTGCTGCCCTGCCACAGCGTGCCAGTCTACTTCGCGCTACTGCCCTGTCACAACTTGCTGGTCTACTCGCGCTGCTGCCGTCCTGCCACGGCGTACCGGTCTACTGGCGCTGATACCACCCCGCCACAGTGTGTCTCGGTCGCTGGCTTTGCTGCAAAACCACTACGAACCGACATCTCGGGCTGTTGCCGTACTGCAACGTGTTCCAGATCGTTCGTTCTGCTGCCCTGCCGTGAAATGTCTTGACTACAGACCACAATTGCTGATGATTCGTCAATATTCCTCATGACGTTGACTAGCAGACAAACGGTGAGACATCAACCACTTTTTCTTTTCAACTTTGGCAAAACCAAGTATGATGCGAATTGTCGTTGGTTATTCTATTACAGATTACCGCATACGAAAAACATGAATAATAGTGGCTGCAATTAATATACGCTAGTATGATGCTGTCTATATACTTGAACAAATACGAATGTTGACTTTGGCAACCAGACTACTACATAAAATATAAGCAGCTTTGAAATGAAACGTGGTCGCATAAACACGCGAAAGTACGTTTTACAATACTATTATCATCTCAAGCACAAAACTAATAATATACCAAGATCGCAAGCTGTGCGTCTAATCCTCGTTATGCAACACGCAAAGTGCTTTCTTTATACGCAGTGTATATATAATATACATATCTTAAATCAGACATCTACAGTATACGACAACTAACAAGGGATGTGACCATTAATAAAAAAAATACAGCGAAATCTGTATAAAACGATACTTGTGGCTTATACTTGCTGTGTCGATTTACCTATGAGCAAACTACGCACGCCATTTCATGCGGTATTGTTAGCAGCGGGTACGTACGTAGCCGCTGTTTTGGTGTATTATTATACGTAGTTAAGTGTTTACCTTTATTTGACATATTTGCATGTCTAGTACTTGGTATATTTGTGTGTTTTTAATTTATTATATTTACTTTACGTTGACGCGAATTTAGATGAGTAGTAATTTGCTTACAAAATTAGCACTAAAAATCTAAATAAGCAAAAATTTTTTGTGTAGGTTTTGGTAATTATTTTCACGTTAATAGAAATGAAACTTTTATATGTGGTTTGGTCTAAATATTTATTTACAGATACTGGAAATAGCAAGGTAAATGTACGCCTTTATCGATTATTCAATTATAGATAATCGATCAAGGAACAAAGGTAAAAACATTCTAAATAAGTAGGTGTTTTGATGGTAATGAAATTGTTTTTCAGGAAACTAAACGTAATTTAGCTAACATTTCAGGAAAAGAAGATTAATGTTGTTTCAGCGATCGTAACTTTTTCATACAGCCAATTTGATCTCGAAAATTACGCGCAAATGTTGAATGGGATATGAATGGGACTGAATGAATATAAACTATTAAAAAGTTATTACTAGCGGACTCGCACAATTTTGTAAAATGGAAATAAAGATAATAATCGTATTATAAAAGCATAGCTGGTACGTATGTGTGTAATATCTCTTGCAGGCACAACGTCTTTCAACAATTATGTACGCATGTCATTATGATTACGGGAAGTAAAGATAAATAATATCAATTTACAAAATAAAATTACAAAGAAAATGTAAGTAGTATAACTGCATGTAGTTGTTTAAAGTTACTTACAAAACAATAGATGTACGGATGTAGCAAGTTTCACGCATGTAAATGTAAATAACTGCACATGTTGACATGTTTGTAACAAATTTTGATTGTAAAAACTGCTACCGAAATAAGTACTTTACCGCTACTTGGATGTGTTAAAAAAATTTCTTGCAGCAACTAATAATAAATTTCAGAAAAGTCAAGAAGCACTAAATTATACAAACGACCTACCAAATCGGTAAATGGACAGCAATAGTATTTATACGTTGACTGAGAAACCTAAATACATAAAAAAGCTGTGTAATTAACTAGGTTTTTTAATGTAAATTGAATTTATAGAAATGGATATTATGTGCCATTGTACGCAAACACTGAAAAACAATAGAAAGATGCGAAACATGTAATGGGTACCAATATCAACATAAAGGTCGCGTTATTATGACGGTCTCTCGAGAACTAGGTAAGCGATTTGTTTTAGGTCAACTGGAAAATCGTCTTAAGAACCACAGCCAATCAGGACGAAATAAACTCTAATTCATGAAAGTATTTGCACATTAATACAGTAAGCGGTTTCGTTTAAAATTGGAGAATTGAAACAGATTCTTTTTCGGTATTCCGTATCATTATGGAAAAATGAGAAAGCGAACAGGCGAAGTTGTTGTCAGGTAGGTTAGTTTGTTACTTTACAGGTCACACAATGAAAACTGCCGACAGTATGTTTAAAAAGGCAATGTGACTACAATTGACTGAGAACACAATAATCGAGATTAGAGCACTTAAAATTAGCAACTTAGTTCAGTAGTATGTTAAACAGTGGTCAAAATAACGACACCGGATTATATTACATAAAAGATAGCAAAGAATAAATGAAATGGTGGATGTGTTGGAAGTTTATCAGGACAAATGGCTTCATAAATGAAAAAGAAAATAAGAACTACGAAACAATGTTAACGATAACCTTAACTTTTATAGATGAAGTTAACAAATTGTATAGTCCTACTACTAAGCAAGTTTGTATGTATTTTCATTATAATGTTGTGAGAAATTTAAAAACGATAACAGTATTATATATTATATAATAATGAAAAAGAAAGCACGGAGGTATGTAATAAACAACATCAAAGGAAAAAAAATGGCAAATAGTGAAAATAAAATGGAATCATAGAAAAAAACAAAGGCAAAAGAAACGGTCAAGGTATGTCTGCTAGCAAACGTGAAAGGACATTACAACTACGCAAAAAAATCCTTTTAGCAAAATTCTCAAAACAAAAATACATCAATGGTCACAAAAGAAAAAGAAAAAAATACAAACGAAATAGTCGGTAAAAAAGAAAGTTTACCAAAAAAAAATGAAATAAAAAAGACCATTAAAAAATAGACAATAAAAAATAGACAATAAAAAATAAACAATAAAAAATAAACACTATGACAAAAAAAAACTACAATAAAAAAGCATACAAGTAAAAATATATACGGCGAGGAAGGAAGACGACACGAGGGGCTACGACGAGGAAGAAAGAAAATACAAGAGGCACTACGGCAAGGAAGAAAGAAGACGCAAGGTGGATTGCGGCGAGGAAGAAAGAAGACGCAAGACGGACTGCGGCGAGGAAGAAAGACGGACAACGGCAAAGAAGAAAGAAGACGCAAGAGGGGCAGCTACGAGGAAGAAAGAAGCGAGAGGGGCAGCGGCGAGGAAGAAAGACGCAAGATGGACAACGGCAAAGAAGAAAGAAGACTCAAGAGGGGCTACGGTGAGGAAGAAAGAAGACGTAAGAGGAGCTACGGCGAGGGAGAACTTAAAGAGAAACTAAACCAAGGAGAAAAGATTTCTTACTAGTACGACTGTAAAGAACTAAAGTTCTGTAAACCACGAAGATTAAAAAGACTAGAGAAAAACTACAGCCACGAATAATCTTGAGATTCAAGAGGAACTACGACGAGCAAGAAAGAAGACGCAAGAGGAGGGGCTACGGCGAGGAAGAAAGAAGACTCAAGAGGGTCCATGGCGAGAAAGAAAGTAGACTCAGAGGGTCCACAGCGAGGAAACAAGAAGACGCAAGAGGGGCTACGGCGAGGAAGAAAGAAGACGCAACAGGGGCTACGGCGAGGAAGAAAGAAGACGCAAGAGGGGCTACGGCGAGGAAGAAAGAAGACGCAAGAGGGGCTACGGCGAGGAAGAAAGAAGACGCAAGAGGGGCTACGGCGAGGAAGAAAGAAGACGCAGGAGGGGCTACGGCGAGGAAGAAAGAAGACGCAAGAGGGGCTACGGCGAGGAAGAAAGAAGACGCAGGAGGGGCTACGGCGAGGAAGAAAGAAGACGCAAGAGGGGCTACGGCGAGGAAGAAAGAAGACGCA